TGTTACCACAAATGTCCAGACTTCATCAGCTGTTTAAAATACTGTTGGACTAAGAGCTTTACGATTCATTCAGACAACAGGTGTAGAGATCCCCTCCGGAGCCAGGCATTAGACTAGCCTCTGTGTGTGTGTGTGTGTGTGTGTGTGTGTGTGTGTCCCTGACTTTTTGTTAACATGTTAGTTACTGGAAGAGAAAATGCATGTTCATGTAATATACACTTTTAGGTACAGCTGTAATACGTAACCTTTAATACAGTAAGATTTTTGATGTTTTGAAAGAAGTTTCTTGTGGTCACCAAGGCTATATTTGTTTGATCCAAAATACTGCTGTAATATTCTGAAATATAATTTGATACAATTTGAAACCGTTTTCTGTCATCTATTTCAGTATATCTTAAAAGGCAGTGTATTCCTGTGATGGTAAATCTGAATTTTCAGTATCATTACTCCAGACTTCAGTGTCAAATGAGGAGAAATTCCTGTATGCTGATTTGATGCTCAAAACTATTTGTTTTTATTATCAATACTGAAAGTTCAAAAGAAAGGTTTTTTAATTAAAAAAGTAGCATTTTAAATGTCTTTTACTTGATAAATAGAATGCATCCTTGCTGAATACAAGTATTGATTTCCTAAAATGCACTACTAGAGTAAATCACAATGGCATGACGATACAAACTGGGTAATTATAACTAACATAGAAAGTCTCTATTGGGAAATGATTCCCTGACAACCACAGATGTTTCTAAAAATGTCAGTTTGAACTTGTGGCTCTAAAAATATTTCTCACTGTACTCCTCAGTTACGTCTAAAGTGAGGTCCTGGGAATGTGTTTTTTTTATGATCCACCCACTGGTTTCTCATGCCCACGGCAGTGTTACCCAGCACATCGAAAGCATCATTATCTCTGAGTGGAATGTGTGAAGCAGCAGACTTTAGCCAAAGGCTTTCGCTTACCCGAGTTATGGTCAGCGGCTGGTTAAAATCTTTGCCTCCTGAAAGCCGAAATCCCCAAGGGGCTGGCCCGTCCAGAACCACGTTCTGTGGCATATCTGTCTTGTTCAGCCTCCTCTTTCTCAAAGTTTGAGAAGCTTCCTCAGTACAGTCTCCTCTTATTGGCGAGAGATCTGCAGTAAGAAAAGAATAATCAGCTCTGTCTCTCCTACCCTGGACGAATGACTCACCCAACCACGATTGGAAGCCAGTGCTTGTCTCTGAGTCCCTTTTAAGCATGCGTGTGGGGTTAGGAGAGTGAGTGAGTGAGTGAATGAAAGAAAGATGATGCCAGGATGCCACTCCTCTCGTGAGGTCACAGGGTAGAATGAGAAACTGAGGGTTCAAACTCTCCCCCCACCTCTTTCAGATCCAAACCTTGCACCCTTTATGATTAATCCTCTTTTCCCATAAGTCTTAGCGGTTTGATAGCTAAAATCATCCACCAGTGACTCTCTTCGCTGTGTCATCACCTTGTCTGCTGTCTAGACTTTTCTTTCCTTACCGCCGGCAGACACCTGTGCCTGACTGAGAGGAGTATAGGCTACTTCATCATTAAATTAAGGCTGAGTGTTGAGTCAGAGCCTTTGCTGCTGATGAGCAGATTACAAATTATTTACAGAACACAATAACAAAACGATATGTCATATTTTCATGCCAACACAGCATGTGTTGCTCTTTTAAACATCTCCTCTCGGGAATGTAAACAATTTCAATTACCCAACCTCATAAGGGAAAACTGAAAACTGCTTGGATTTCATTTCAAGTGATAATTCTCTTACTTTACCACCACCACCACCAAAAAAAAAAAAAGTTAATTTATCTAGCCTAGTGTCTTAATGTCATAGTTACATTACACATGAAGTGGCTCCAAAAACAGTTTTGGACACATAAACCATGCTTTAAAATGTATGAATGCCATTGCATTAGTTGGTTTAAAACTTCAAACCAACCTTTTCTCCGAACTAACTTAACTTTTCTGAGCCATTTTTGCAATGACTGTTGCAGTGACCTCAAGTGATATTTTTAGCGCATGTACAAAGCTCACACAGGTGTCCTAACAGACTAGCACAGGTGCAGTTCATCACATTGACTATCTAATGACATCTGACAAAACAAACGTCTGTTAGAGATGGTTCACACAAAACGCCTTCTTGCGTGCCACTGTGCTTCTTTTCAATCGTTTTTCCACATTGTCATGTAAACATAATGCACTACAACCCCGTACGATTTCGGCGTCTAGCGAATGAGCACCACATTTTTAAGATGTCGTGTCAAATGTAAACATCTCGAGATCCTGCTTCTTTTTATTGTTTTTATATTTAAACATGCGATAGACGGACATATATCTTTTTCAAGCTAATCAAGCTAAACTTCAACTTTATAAAAAAACACACACACACGTCTGGTCAGCTATCCTTGTGGGGATTCTCCATAGGCGTAATGGTTTTTCTACTCTACAGACCCTATATTCTATTGCCCTACACCAAACCTACCCCTCACAGGAAACTTTCTGCCATTTTAAATTTTCAAAAAACTTCATTCTGTATGATTTATAAGCTTTTGTACCCGTGGGGACCACAATTTAGGTCCCCACCGTGACACGAGTCCCCATCAGTCTGTGTGTATTCAGGTTTAAGTCCCCACCAGGATATATAAACCAGTACACACACACACACACACACACACACACACACATCGAGAGCGCGTTCTGAACGTCCCGTAAAATTTTGCTTGAAATCTTTTAAAGCTTTTTGTTTTGCTTAAATATTGTGCTTATTGCTGGTAGTTTAATATACAGTACTTACATTTTGTTATATATTTGTGATTAGTGTACAAATACTTTTTTGTTGTAACCAAATATACCACTATATTATATTAGCAGGGAATGCACTCAGAAATTCAATCAGAAATTGCTAGTAATTTTCACTAATTACAAATTTTTTTTAGATAAAAAGGCTCATATATTTTTGCAAGTTGAGATAGTGTTCAGGATTTTCTTGTTTATATGAAGCAGGAGAGTTTTTTTTATTGTTTTGTTTTTTGTGAAATATACTTCAAAAATCTTTGTTTTATCTACAACTTGATGTTACAGAGTACAGTAGGCCTAGTCAATATTTTGGATGCCATTCTTTATTTCAGTGCTGCCATCAGGAGCATTTCTAGCTTTATCTCAGTACACCTGGGACATTTTAAAACTCTCTTTTTTGATACAGTTTTGGATCTAAATCGTCAAATTGCTAAGTTTCACAGTTGTCATTTGTATAAGAAGGGTGTAGTGATGCTTCTGTCTGTCATCCTATTTATTAGCTATATGTATGAAATAGTCATTCGTGCACGTGATACTTGTTTCCAAAGTACCTACACAGAGAGGAGCATACTGTACTGCACTACATGGCACTGGAGCACTGTGCTCTTTATATGAAGGCCAAATTCTAGCTTGAGAGCACTTGTATTGTAGGTTTGAACAGCTCCTTGTTTGGTGTGCCAGGGACGAGCTGTTTGTCATGGTCTGAGCTGCATCAAACCGAGGAACCCCTAACACCAGAAAATCGCTCTCTAACCCAGGCTGTCACATCATGTACCCCCTCTAGTAATGAAAGGGACAGGTTGTCCAAAAATTCTGTCATTTATTCACCCTCATGTTCCAAAATTCAAGGGGGTTGGAACAACATGAGAGTGAGTACATGATGATTTTGGGCAAAACTGTGCCTTCTATGCATGGATGTCAACTGGGGTTTGCGCTCTGTTCCCAGATATTTTTATCAAGTGCTTAAAAGAGCGTGTGAGAATTTGCTCCATTAAAAACAAATGTGGGAAAAGCACAGAGTCTAGACAGAAACCCCTGCCTCATGTGAGGAGGCTGGATGGCTCTGGTTCTTTCTCTCAGACTGACCCTCTATTTACTGTGTCTCCATGACAGCAAGAGGGACAACTCCAGGACACCATGTAACTGTTTATAGACTGGACGGTCTGCAGGGACTAGATTGCTAGCAGAAGGCCAATGTTCAGGATGGCACGATTGTCCTATGCACTTATGGAGACTGTGAATCCCACTGAGAACATAGTCTGATGAAAACTGATAGAATTTATTTATTCACTACTCCAGAGAAAAAAGACAAAGGCTTCAAAATCAATGATTGCTTTAACTTTTTTGGAAAACCTAATCAGACACTTTTTGTTTATTAATCAGTGGTTGCACTTGTTGATATAACCAGCAGCAATGGTTGAGGACTCTGCATGGCATTCCTTTAAATAATCCAGTGATGTTATATTTTTTTCTGTTTTTGACCAATGATATTAGAGCAATTGTCCGTTTTTATCCAATCAGAGTCCATCACACACTCTAGCACCAAATGTAATCAGTCAGTGGCAGATAGGTTTAATTTACTGAACATATCACAGTGTGCTGTACTTTATAAACATGTGTTCCTGAATCGTGCATTATTAAATATTACAAATAGCCATGTCATTACATAAATTACAAGTGGTAAAATTATGCACCAGGAACAGCACAGTTTACTTCACTTCTGCTTAAGAATGGAAGACAGTCTGCCAAGCCTTTAACTGAACCACAATGAAGATTAGGTTCACAGAGCCAGATGAATTCTCATAGTGGTACAATAATACGTTTGCACCGATGAGCAATTCTTTATGAAACAACATGCGCTGGATTTTACTGGTACATTAAGCACATTGACAGACACAGAGACTGCATAATTCCATGAGGTATAATATTGCCTAAATGACATATATTATTGCTTCATGTTTCTACTGACTGACACATTTACATTTCTTGCTTTACTGACTGGAATAAAACGGTTAGTCATACAGTCTCACTGGAAGATTGAAACGCTGCATATTTTAAATTGAACATTTGAATATGAGAGTGTAATCGCTGTGCTGCACAGAGATCATAGACATGTAGAACAATCAACAATATATTAAGTATATCATAATGAAAAACGTTTGCTGAATGATCAAATAAACAAAAATAGATTTTTACGCACATTTCCTCCCTCAAATTGAACCAATCGGAAGGCGACATATACAAAATACATGGCTGCCAATTGCAGTTTAGTAATTATGACATCATGTGCTCCTCTTATTGGCCATAAATAGATTACAGTGTGTAAACCAAAAGTGATGTGCAAGGTCACCCAACACAGAAATATTATAGGCAGTAGAGACATTGAGTCATTTTACTACGGTCTTTTGCCAAAATGCTTTTTGTTATGGATATTGCATTCTCAAAAACGTTATCTCTTTAGATGGAAAAATATCAAAAATATTTTTCTCTTATCTGTAAAATCCTTCAAATGCTCAAAGGAATGTCTGGAGGAAGAACGTTAGAGCCCTAGAAAACCGGAGGTCATTCTTCTGAACCAGAAAGTTAATAACATACTGAAAAGATACATGTTGGCAGGAATGGTCATCTGTAATATCCACTGCCTGACACAAACATGACACTGCAATACTGTTCAGTCTATACAATCTAGATCAGATCAGACATCAGGTCCAGTGTACAAGGGCCACCAGCAGTAGATCATTCCTCACCTACTGTATTTCATCCTTCCGATGAAAGAAAACATGCCTCTTAAAAAATAGGGCTCTTGATAACTCATTATGTTGAAATTCATCAGCTTAACTAGAAGGCAAGCGAACTGATTATTTTCAACTATGAGAAAAATGTAGGCAACCAAATGTTTTAAAGCTTTTACTGAAATTCCTAATTAATGTAATGCTTTCCGAATGTAATTATCAACATATTTGAACCAAATGACATAAATGGTGCAATAACCCCTCGAAGGCCATTGGCTTTTCATCAGTTTCATCACTTTCCGTCAGTCCAACAGGTTGACGACTGGAACATGTCATGCTAATTCCAGCAGGTAGCTGTAAGTGACATTGTCCATCTCTCCACAGTAGATGTGTATTGGAAAAGTCCATTTATAGTCGCTTCACGTAGTTCCCAGGAAAGGTTCCAAAAAACTTGGTTCTCCTGGACGTTCCTAAAATATTAAATATGGAATGAGGCCAGCATAAATACTGTATGTATCTATCTATATGATAAAAAATGTAAAGGCAAGTGTGTGTATTGACATATAGGATTATTATAATTAGTAATGACAAATCCACTTTATATTTTTTTTCTCTCCAAACATCCAAGGGCTGTTTGAACCATGACAGTGCTGACAGTATTTTTTGGTTGGACAATAGCGCCAGCTAGTGGCAAATAAATGAACATCACTAAAACACTCCTTGTGTAGTAACCAGCAACCTAATGAAAATGGAGTTTACAGTCTTACCCACAAACCATCCATCATCACACTTCTCCATGATGTCAACAACATCTCCTTCCTTCAGTTCCAGCTCATCTTCATTTCGTGGCATGTAGTTATACAGGGCTTGAAATCTGCGAGAGGAAAGGCTCTTTAAGTGTGTTTTCCACATTAGGTTATATTTCAGTATCTGGGCTTGTAATACTGACCAAATCCCACAATGGTATACTTTAAACTTATGGATACAGAAAAGGGCTTGAAATACTCACGGTTCCCCTGCACCTTGAAGCGGATCATGAACATATGCTTGTCTTTGGGACTGAAAAGAGAGAAAACAGGAAAGGCCATTTAAATGTTTCCATCTCTCATTCTGCTGTATGTCCATCTGATACTGAGAGTTCAACTGTGCTCGTGACGAACCATTGATGCAAAGCCTGAGGCCAGACCTGGATCAGTTGTGTATCTGAATTATGTAAATGCTCAAACTTGGTTTGAATACAGATTAAAAAAAAAATAAAAATGTAACTTTTTTTCAAATACGTGTGAGATCCAGGACTACCGCGGCTCAAGTTCTGGTTTTCTAAGCCATCAAACAACATATTTTCTAAAATATGTTTGATTTGTGGACTTAGAAACAGTCGAGAAATGCCTTAAATCCTGAAAACGAGGACTGTACTCCCCTTGTTTGGAAGGAAATGTGGGGAATAGGCCGCTTGCCTGGCCCTGGGGAGTACACCTTTTTTAAGCTGTGTACACAGGAAAGATCATTGGGACAGTCCCACGAGTAATCCAAACACTCCAAACACATGGCTTAAACCAATACCGCATGTACAAGCCAATCATCTCAACTGCTTTGAGCCACAAAAACCAAAAAAGACTGCAGAGATCCACTATTTGTGATCTAGGAAGTCATGGACATGCAGGAAAAACCACTTCCTGACACACTTCCAGCATGCTGACCAAACACAATGTTATCACTCTACAGCAAAGTTAGGAATTAAATGTTATTTTCTCGACCACAAAATGCACTGATGCACACAGACAGACAAGGCCATGGTGTTAAGAGTATCCCTTAGTCACTGACTCAGCATTCCTTCATATTGTACTGATGGAATGATACTGCGTACGGAAGCATCATACGCTGACACAAATATATGCCAGTATATATTGTATCATTCCTAATATCATTATATCCAGCTGTAGCAGCAAATATGGAAAGAACTGCACTCAAAACAGTGAATTCCCAGGTCAAATACAGTGAATGATATTATGCGTTGTGCAGGGATACTTTGAAAAGAGAGAAAACTGAATTTCCCTTGAGTCAAATGTGCCATTGCCACACAAGGTGCACATACTCCCTACCCTATGAGATGGTGAAAAGTTTTGACCTCTAACAGGCGATCCGCAGGACCTCCTAGACATCACAGGGCTACGAGGGGGCTTACCAACAACCACAACATCACGCCTTAACACAGACTGAAAGAACCAGAGCCGAGAGAAGCTGACATGAATGTTATGTGCAGTCATATATAAAAACATTTTACAAAAGTATACACTACCATTCAAAAGTTTGGGGTCAGTATGTTATTTAAAAAAAATAAATTAATACTTTTATTCAGCAAGGATGCATTCAATTGATCAAAAGTGACAGTTAAGAGTTAAAAACTGAATGTTAAATAAATGCTGTTCTTTTGAACTTTCTATTCACCAAAGAATCTTGAAAAAAATGTATCAATATGTAAAAACTGTTTTTGACATTGTTTCTTGAGCAGCAAATCAGAATGATTTTCGAAAGGTCATGTGACACTGAAGACTAATGATGCTGAAAATTCAGCTTTGCGATCACAGGAATAAATTACATTTTAAAATATATTAAAATTGTAATAATATTTAACAATATTACTGTTCTTACTGTTTCTGATAAAATAAATATAGCATTGGTGAACATACAAAATCATACCAAACCTGATTTTTTTAATTGTAGCGCAATATATTTATACAAAAAAGTTCAAAAAATATTCTTCGTACAATTTACTCATGGACAGAATTGTGCCTGATTCTTTTTGCTCTAAATGTCTCATTATTTATTCTGTTACCCAAGCATCCGTTTTGAGCACTCTTTGTTTGTTTGTTTCCATGCCAGTGGACAGAACTAATAGGGCAAGGCCCATAAAGCTAATTTAAAAGGAAGAAATAGGTGATTTAAATATGTCTACGACTTATTAATTATTAATGATTCTAGCTCCCCATATAACTGTAATAATTTACTGTATGTCAGACATATGAACTACATTGTTGTGTTTCATTTATGAAGTGCACACACTGTGGTGCAATACATCTCTCATGGAAATGCATACCGCAGAGATGATGTACTTTAAGTTATATAGGTCACTTTAATAGGGAATGTTAGTGCCTGTATTATGGAGTGGTAAGACTAGGGGGAAGGGTGGAGGAGGATGAGCGCTGGTGCAGTCACTAACAAGTAGCTTGTCTTTACCTTGACCTTTGGGGAGCGGAGGTCCTGTCGGGAGAACAGTTTTGCAGAGGGAGGGGGCGACTGTGAAACCCCGGGCAGAGGGGGGGTGGAGCGCGGGGAAGGGGGAGAGTATTTAGCCGATGAGGGCAGTGTGAACGGCAATGACATCTGTGAGGACAGGGGAGAGAGACGTGGAGAGGCATTCTGGGAAACTTCACCCTGCTGGTGTGGAGACGAAAACAGTTATACATGCCACAGACATACGCTCATCATCCTCTACAGATGCTTCAGGATTTAAAGGTGAAGTGTGTCATTTTTTGTGCCGTTAACGACACCAAACAGAATTGCACAAATTAGTGATGCGCTGAAATTCTAAAAATATTCATAATCAAAATGCGGCATCAGCCCTCTAAAACTATTTATAAATAAATAAATTTCCAGCTGAGGTGGATAATAATGCTGGGTTTATAACATTCATTTTTATAATATTAAAATTAACTCCTTTTTAATCTACAGTATCTTTATTTTGATGAACCAACATCTTTTAGGCTATGCTGTTTTCTTTTTGTTGATGAGTAAACAAAACTTCACTAAACATTATTTGTAGTGCACCTACCATCCAGTAATTGCAATAAGCTTTGTGCTTCGTTACTTTTGGGTCTGAATGGAAAGATGTAAACAAAACAGCTTGCAAACAATGTTACATTATATTTATCTCAGGAAAGCCATTCAATGTCCATAGCTTGTTAGTCAGCCAGAAAAATAACTCCTGAGAGGAGCATTTTGCTAAATATATACACCATATTATATATTAATTTTATTTTTACTGAACCTGTTGTTTTTATTATTTAATGTATGTTTGAATAAATCTGTGATTTAAAAAATATCACAGCCACCATTTAAATGCTTATATTAAAAACAGCCTAATATGCCATTTAAATGTTTATAAACAACTGTTGATTGTTAAATAAATTTGATTTCTTCTTCTTATTATAAATTTTTATACTTTACTTTCAATTTTGCTTTTCGTCTAAAAATAAAAGTGATTTCAGGTTTGGTGTTTTGATAAAAAATTAATTTCAATGCATCACAGGCAAAAAAATAACGACCAATGAAAAAAAAAATAAAAGTATGATCCAAAAACTTGAAATTTAGTATTTAGTCATCTAAAACATTACACACTTCTCCTGTAAGGGAATCTATTTTGACTGTTCATTTGGGCGGTATAACCACACAGCGAGCACTACCTCAAAATCTGACCCCTCACTATGGGCGGGTTGGACTGGAGTAAATGTATTTGATGGCAGGGGTTCATTTGTCTCCTCCTCTATAAACAGTCTGGGAAGCTTTTCCATTACATCTGGTTCCTGGCGATAAAATCCCTCCTCTTCTTTGAACCTGCCCTTTGATTGGCTGGCCTTAATGATTGACACTAACTCCTCACACAGATCATCCTCGGGGTCTTTAGGTGGAAGAATGTCCAATGGGGATTCATATGCCTCTAAAACAACCAAGTCTGTCTCGACTGGTTTGTGGAGGTCTTTGCGATCTGAGAACAACTGCAGTTCTTTCTCGGCTAAATCTGCTTTTTGGCTGGAGAGGATCTCTATGACACTGCTAGACCTGGGGCTGGAGTCAAATATGGGTGAGGTGGGCGAAGGAGTGAAGGAGGCGGAGGTGAGGTAAGGTTGAGGTGACGGGCTGGGATCGGGGGACATGTAGGACTTTGGGGAGGTGATGGGAATGAAGTGACCCTCTTTGAGCGCAGGAGTGGAGGTGTGGGGAATGAGGGCTGGAAAGCGGCCCAGCATGGAGGAGGCAGGAGAAGGGGAGATGGCAGAATCCAACACTTCAAAGTATGGCTGGAAATTGGAAGGGAAGGGAGGGGGTGTGGGGGCAGGGGTTCCTGAAGGAGACAGACCCAGAGTAAGGGCCAACCACTCGCTGGTGATGGCCTGAAGGTGTGTGGCTCTCTGTGGACTGGGAGAGGATGAGGAGAGTGGACGGACAGATGGGGATGGAGAGTTGTAGAGGGTACGTGCAGATGATGGCTTAAGAGAGGAAGAAATAGAAAGTGATACTGTTTATATACACTGGAAATTAAGAGAACTGATGGAAAAGATAATAAAAGTGACAGGAGGATAGATGAAAAAATTCTGCAGAGTTACAAGAAAATCCCACCTAGAAAACCATGGTACAAAAACAACACTTTTTATTCAGTAAATCTTGACTAATTCCAGATGATTTAAGCAGTTTACAGCTACAGTGTGGGGTTTGGATTCTGTTATGCGTAGATTAATTACTATTTGGATGTATACAGAATCCCACCCATCATGTAAATTAGATTTCACATAATTTATGGCCATTATCAAAGGAATTTCCTAGAAAGCACTTAATTTTCCGTAGCTCTGCTACACAGCAGAAACGCTGTCATTGTGAACGCTTTATGCAGTCCCATATTCAAATTATTGTAAAGGCTTTGCAGATGCCGTATGTGGGAAAACAGGCCTAAGACAGAAGACATGAGCTACAAGGAAGGATATGCCATAATGAATCATTTTTAGAGCACACTTGCTGTCTGTATTGATTTGTGAGGTGGAAACAACAACAAGGCCACTAAGAGGTCATCTATAAATCAGAGATAGGAGTATCCTGTCCTCATAATACAAGCCTTCCACATCTACCCGGGGGCTTTTCGGGAACTATTTTCTCTTGTGAAAGTTGAAATGAAAAGATATTGGACAAAAATAACCTAGTAGGACATTTTCTGGACAATTGTGTGTTTTGTGAATTTACATTGTCTCCAAAATGTTTTTATTCTTAAGCCACGTTTAAAAATGTATGAGTCTTCGACTAATGTTTGACAACCAAAAAGTGTCCAAATACGTTGTAATTTTACTAGTACACTACTGTTCATGTTTGCGGTCAGACTTTCATATTGTTTCAAAAGATTCATATTTCCTTTGAACTTTCTATTCCCAAAAAATATATATTAAGCACAACTGTTTTCAACATTGAACCTTTACCAACCTAAAAGATCTTACCAGCTCCAGTGCTTAAAACAACTTGCTTAAAAGTGTGCTTGTGCTATTGTTTTTTTTAATTAATGACATTAGTTTGATATTTTGTTATCTAATGCAATAATATTCATTTTTTTAAGTGTGGCTTAATTGTCCAAATTCTTCATGGGGTCAATGTATGTACTGTAGTACAAAGTTAAAATGTGTTTGCTATAATAAGAAATGATACCAGTCCAGTTCAGTCATATTAGTTCACCTTCACAGAAACTTCCCTTTCAGTAACAGCAGGAGCTGAGCAGCACATGTATAGCACAGCAGGTCATGTCCATGTTTTAATTAGCTATACTGGATAATGGCAGGACGTGTGATTAATCTGATCTAATCCTGCTGGACTCATCTCATGTGAGCGAAGGAATAAGCCTTTACTTCTTTGTTCTTTAGATGGAATTTACAACTCAAGGGCATTTAATCTGAAGTCAGGCTTATCTTACACAACAAGCCAAAGGTAATCTATGACAGAGGTGCTCTATTTTGGCACTGGGACAGTTGCCATCTGAGAAAGGATTAATTTTATACTTGCCACCTTGTTGGCACTGATAGTACTGTACATGAGCTATGGCAATATGAGTAACATTATATGAATGAGAGGCTTTAGTGCCTCTGATGCCACCATTTGTCGGCACGGATCGTGTATTTAAAGTATAAATGTATGTAACCTGAAATTCAGATATCTGTAGTCACCATGATATAAACCTCATGAGTAATATGAGATGTGTTTTAGACATTGTAGGTACATTTTAAGTGGGATTGCAGATGAAAACATACCTTACTGTTCAGTCTGTCACTGGAGTAGCTGGTGGGTATACTGGGCCCAGGAGGTTGACCGGTACTTTGTACTGAAGTCTTCTTAACGATGTCCACATATGACACAGGAAAAATCCCTTGTTTGTTTGTACCTGGGATTTTGCCCTCGAACCAGTTCTTATCCACCTGCCGCAACAGAACAACACGCTCACCCTGGAAGACACCAACACAAGATATTAGGTGGTATATTTGGTGGATCGAAACCAAAATTTTAGTGCAAAATGACAAAATCATAACCAATTATAATGTATTTGATGTTTAATATGCAACTATATGGAGAAGTCGTTAATGGTTGAGGCAAAACTTTTAAAGGTGTTTAATGTCTTGTTGCTTTATTTCTTTTCAAAAGTTCATTAGAACATTAGCATTCAGTAAAAAGTGAGAATTATTTAGCAAAAGACATGCTCTTAAGTGGTAAGAGACATTAAGAGGTGGATTAATGAGCACATGCTGAAACTAAAAGATATTTATGACAGCAGTACTAAGAAAATGCTTACTTTTCTTAATGAAAGTTCCACATTAGTATCAGCATTAAAGTTGTAGTGGGCAATTGCTTCTCCAATTTCTTTGCTTTGGGCTGGTGGTGGAGGTCTCACTGGCTGATGTCTCTCTGAAGGAGGGATTTTCTGTGAAGAGACAGAAGTTAAAAGAGGCAGACTTCAGACGATAAATTAAATCACAATGATATTATATATATATATACATATATATACTGTATATATACTGTATATCTCCAATAAGCTAAACCAGACTATCTTTTAAAGGGATAGTTCACCCAAAAATGATATGATCTGTCATTAATTACTCATCTTAATGTCATTCCAAACCCGTAAGACCTTCGTTCATCTTCGGAACACAAATTAAGATATTTTTGATGAAATCCGAGAGCTCTCTGACCCTGCATAGACAGCAACGGAACTACCACATTCAAAGCCCAGAAACATAGTAAGGACATAATTAAAATAGTCCATGTGACATCAGTGGTTCAACCAAAGTTTATGAAGCTATGAGAATAATTTTTATACACAAATAAAACAAAAATAATAACTTTATTCAACAATTTCTTCTCTTCCGTGTCAGTCTTCGATGCGCATTAACGACAGTACCATGATGCACGTGTGTGCATTCCTCTGCTTGCAAACAAGTTCTACAAGGGTTCTACATCAGAACTCGGGCTCCTGTGTCAGCAGCACCACATGCATGCGTGGTACTCTTGATGGACTATTTTAATGATGTCCTTACTACCTTTCTAGGCCTCGAACTTGGTAGTTCCGTTGCTGTCTATGCAGGGTCAGAAAGCTCTCGGATTTCATCAAAAATATCTCAATTTGTGTTCCGAAGATGAACATCAGTTAATGACAGAATTTTCATTTTTGGGTGAACTATCCCTTTAAAGTACACACCTCCACATATGAGATGGGGAAGATGCCCATGTATCCACGGTGTTCTCCTTCATACCAGTTATTATCTATCTGCCGAGTGATGTATACCGTCTCTCCTTTCTTAAACGTCAGCTCTCTGGAAGGAAATAAAAATCAAGTTAACTATATTCCACATGGGGAAATTATGCACAGGAAAGACATAAATAATACATGAAAATGTACTGACTGATTGTAGCACATCAAATGCAGTAAAAACAGAAACTGGTGACATGGTTTGCAAGTTGTTCTTACTTTGCTGTCTGTGCTTTGAAGTCATATATTGCTCTGGCTGGCAGTTTCTGTCAAGTGAACGAAGCAGAGAAATCGAACTTTATTTCATGCTGGCATGAGGTGGGTTTATTAGCAGTTTGATCAAAGCTCAGATCAATTATTTGTGATTCTACTAAAATTTTGCAGGAACATATTACAAAGTGATGCATATTCCCTACCTCTCTCACATCGGGGGTTTGTCTCCTGCTCTGTGGTGTGCGGTGGTCCACGTCAGGGTACAAGTATTCTCTGGATGTGTGCTGATCTAGAAAGAACAGAGAGTTAAAAGGATTCAAAGACAAGCCTCACAAAGAACCAACACTATTACAGTACATGCGTGGGAACAAGCAATAGCAAAGGAAACAATGATTTGGGGCTTGATGAGAGAAATGCAGACAAAATAAAAAGAAAACAAGAAAAAGTAAATACAAATATATATTTTATTGACCAATGAAAAGTAAATAATGTAAATAAAAATATATAAAGTTTTTAAGTCTTTAAAGGGATATTTGTCCATAATAAAGTAAGCTTCCATGAATCATGTCATAAGTTGTTACACCCATCCTCGAGACTCATATCCCCAGTATAGATCATGTGTATTTATACTAGAACCGCAAATGGGTTAGCTGGCATCTGTGCCAACTGTGGGCAAGCCCCCTTGCTCTGAACGGTCTTCCTTTATAAACAGTGCACTGTGCAAAAGTATACAGTGTCGCTTTTCTTTATGATAAAAAAAAATCATAAAACAATGACCTTTTCCAAAAACAAATTACTAAAATTTTAGGTACTGAGGCTGATCTCATCATCTATGTCAGGTTTGACAGAGTGAACTGTGTTAACATACAGAGAGTATGTTTCTTCCCAAGCCAATAAAATCTCAAATCTGTTTTTAGATTGCATGCTTCAGCTGCTCAAGTCATCTGTCCAATGCTATTTATATAGAGTGAAACTTTACAAAGTTATATTTCTTTTGTGGCAAGCCCACACACAAACTTGTGTTCCTCTAGTGTTCTGATTCCCAGAGAATGTATGAACCTAATAAAACATATACCTTCAAGCGTCTGCCAAATACAGCAATGTTTTGTAAATGGAGTAGGGAAATAACTGTAAATAAATGTTTGATCAAAGAGAAAGTAAACAAAAATACAATGTGATAAAATGAGAAAATGAAAGACATAGGGACAAAATCAAAAATAAAAACTAGATAAGGCAGAGGATGTGGGTATGAGTCGTGCTCTCTGATGTTCCTTGCAACATAACAATTCCTTCCTCTAAGCCAGGGGTGTCCACTCCTACTCCTGGAGGGCCACTGTCCTGCAAAGTTTAGCTCCAACCACAGTTAAACACACTTGAATCAGCTAATCAAGATCTTCAGGCTTACTCGAAACTTGCAAGCAACTTGGAGCTAAAAACTAAAGCACTGATTCTCAACTCTAGTACTGGGGACCTGCACATTTAGTATGTCTTCCTTATTTAATGCAGATCATCAGCTCGTTAAGAGGGAGCTCCATGAACTGAACTGAGGTGTGTCAGATGAGAGAGACATACAAAATGTACAGAGCAGTGGATCCCCGGGACCGAAGTTGAGAACTTCTGCGCTAAATGATGTTGGCCTTCCAGGAGTGGGTTTGAACACCCTTGCTCTAAACAAGCACATTCACAAACACCGATGGAACATAGCAATGGTGGAGGAGCAGAGCTCAAACACGGGGGACAGAATGGGATTTGGGAAACCAGAGATGGATGAGTAGAGTCCACCTTGATAGCAGCATTCAAAGTTATGTTTCTTCTGGTTGTTGTTGCTGTCTATATGGTTGTGAGAGGCACTATGGGACAGGCGTGAGTACTCAGATTGGTGAGTGTCCTGGCTGGGCATGCCGTCAGGCTGTGGGTAGTAAGAGAGAGGCTGAACTGTAGGGCTGCTTCTCCCCAGCACGTGCAGGGATGAATTCCTCTCAGGAATGTCGGGAAGCAACTCCACCAGCAACCTATGAAGGATGCTGTTGTCTGGCAGGTTGCCCATGTGCTTCTCAGTGTGGATGTGGTCGTAGATGTCTTTCAGGGCTGAATCTAGAGCCTCATACATACAGCTCTTGGAGTTTGGCACTCGGGAACAACTCAAAGGTGACAGGTTCTTCCGGCGGAAAGGCACTGGGCTGACCAGGAAGGCGAGCTTGTTGAGTCCGAACTCAGATTCTTCTACCTGCAAATGTTGCCTCCGGTCCTGCTTGGCCCTCTCGTGCTTGATCATAGTGGTGAAGCGCGTATAGGAAGCTGGACAGCGGCCCTTGCAGGTGCTCCCAAGCTGCCTGTGATAATGATGGTGGTGCCCGGATCCGCCAAAGCTCTCGGAGGAGGCAAATGAACACACGTCGAACTCCTTCTCGCTACAGAAGGATGAGCCCTCAATCTGGATGAAGTCGCTAAGGTCGGACACTACAGCATCATCCTCAATGTCTGAGTAGTCGTGTTGCATGGAAGAGTTTTGTAATTGGTTACTGGTGACTTGAATGTGGATTGGCACATGGGTGTTCATCTTGGGGTATTGAGGCCGTCCTTCAGGAGGATTTCTGGCTGGTGGTTCTTCATCCAGTAATGACTCAATAGAGAGGCTACGCTTGGGGCCGCTGGCCCTCCTACAAGAACCCCTGATCGGGCACTCGTCCCAAAGATTTGGCATGGATTTGGACTTCTGGATCAGACTCTCAAATTCAGAAATCCTGTTGTGCACCATGTCCCTAGGCACCTCTTCGTTACAGCCCTTGTTGCCCGTGCGCCTGTCCTTCCGCTGTTCGCTCTCATACTTATGGATCCTGGCTTTGACCGAGCATATCACCGTAGAGTTTATTAGCTCTTGCCGGTTGATGTGATGCATCTTTTTGTAGAGTTTGAGGAAGCCTGGTGCATCGTGGGCCGAGCGGTGCCTTGTCCTCTCCCTATGATCCTCAGACTCTTGGGCGTCACTGCACTGTGATGCCTCTAGTTCGCCGTTGTGCAACAAGGAGCCGGCGCTTTCCGAACGGGTCTGGACTTCCCTTCCCCTCCCATCAGAGAGAAGGTCATCACAACTCCAGGATTTGAGCTTAGACGTGGTCTCCTCTGAGATCATCCAATCTTCTGGGTGCTCTTTGGCTGTTTTCCAGCCTTCAGGGAGGCTGGAGAAGCCTTCTGAGACAGCTGGGACAGCCATGAAACTGTCCTCATTTTGCCCTTTCTTTTGATATGTGGATTCTGAGGTAGCATGGTTTGGACTTTGACCATTTAAATGTGCTGTGTGCATATTGCTCACATCCCCACCTTAGATATCCACCACAAGCAGCATGGTGAAAAAAGAGACATGAGAAGACATTAAAAGGTAAGTGACCCACAGGAGAGAAAAGTAAGGATGTTTATACTACGACCTGGAGGAAAACTGGAAAGAAATCAGACATCAACAAGGCCTCGATGAATAAAGAAGCAATTGATATGCTACACTACACTGAGGCAAGATTGTAAACACTAAATAATTCATTGAATTTTATTCATGCAAAGGGAAAGTCGTTTAAAATTCTGCTTGCGCTGCGAGGAGCAAAATGAACATTGTCTGTGAACCTTCCCCTGTTGCCTATTTTTTCAATAATGTGTACAAGTGTGGCTGCTCGTCTGACGTCTACCTTTAGTCCTTGTGGCGGCGGGGGAGCTGGGGCTGGTGAGGGGATTCCTCCTGGGTAGCTCTAGTGGTCTGACAGATGTTTGTGTTGTGCCCACACTGCTCTGAGCCCTGGGCTGAGCGGCTGCAGGTTCAGATTTCCGTCTCTTGTTATCACTGGCAGAGCTGCAAAATCAATGTGGTTGAAGATTTGTAAACAATATATTCAAAAACGTAATAAACAATGTTAAAAAAGGGGAACAAGTTTAGAATGAATTGCAATCCTAATCTCCATTTGAAAGTAATGCCATGGTTTCTCACCTATACAGTGACCTTAAAATATATTGGAAAACAAAAATCAAACCAAGTGGCATTTTTTTTTGCATGTTTGCAAAATGTTTCACAAGAAGATGTCTGTTAGATTTGATAGTATTATATATAATATATTATAAAATATTTTAGTGATTGATACAAAAGAATATTACAAATAAGACAAAAAGTAGTCAGACACTTTCTGAATGTTATAGAAGAACAAGTTCTGTAATGTCATGACCTGCACAATGCATCCCTTAAGACTGACCTTGGGACCAGTTGGTTAAAAGTCATTGCAAAAATGTTTTGAGAAAAGTGTCACTTTGTTTGATATTTTAAAAACATAGATAGATACTTTTTAAAAATCTATGCAATAAAATATATATTTGTGTGACTTCAAATAATTTCAATGCATTTACAGTTAAACCTACCTTGAGAGCGTTTCAAGGCTCCTCTCTATGGATGGCTGATAAAGGGAGGTCTGCAACAGATGAAGGAGAAAAAGCAGGGTGAATTCTTTGCTTATTATCCAAACTTACTTTATAGTAGGTTCCTTGATACCCAGCGCTCTCCTTCACAAATCCAGCAATGGTTATATCAGTGAAACTCCCAATGTCTGGACACAGTGATGTGGGCCAGCTGTCCCTTGAAAACCCAGCCATTCCCAGGACAGCTAGACACGTCAGATCACTTACGAGGGTTTCTATGTCGAACAAAGCAGGGAATTCCTTGTACGCATGGCTGGAGTAGATAATCATCTTCCTGTTTGCTGAAGCTCTGAGCAGTGTTATCTGGAACAGCTCTTCAGACCAGCAGCAGACGCCCCTCGCATTTTTTAACCCTCTTTAAAAGTAGCCCAAGCATGCAGTACCGGGAATGTCTCCTCAGTTAGACACATTTACATCTAGTCAACATAAATACAGCTCTGAGTGACAGATACGACACTAGCAGGCTCAAAATTGGGCTGTAAAGCCTCTGTGACAATTTTGAGCAATTCTTTGTTTGGATTTACAGCATTCCTCAAACCATAACTGTTACTACACTGGCCTCTTAGTTACGTTCTCTCCTTACAGTGGTCAGTAGCAGTTCACAGGGAGCAAGTGATCAAAAAAAACATTAAGAAAAATTAACTAAAAAGCTGCGCCACTTGCATGTGGTAGTTATATGCCTGTGCATATGTCTTGATCACTAACAAATTCAGTTTAACTATGTGCAAAATGCACTGAAATGTGCACTCTTTCAATCACGCCTCCTTTCTGTGTAAATATGATAAACATAGATCATTACAGATGTGCCATGATTACAAAACATATGCATTCCATGTTACTTGATTTGCATAATTCTGAATAGCGTGTGAAAACAAATTAGTGTGTGTGCAGGAAAGCGACACTATTAATTTATTCTAAATTAATTATTCCCGTTGACAGCCAGCAAACTATATTTACAATGGCAGAAAAAAGTCTGTGAGTGAAAGAGGAGATGTAATGTGATACTGTAGATGGCATGTCCATAGATCCTTCACCTACAACAAACACATGGACAGAATCGGCAGATGACAGCCAGGAGGAAGTGCTCCTGTCTCACGAGAAATAAATGATGTAATACTAGAATGAAATGTTATTATGATAAGAGAAGCAAATGCAGGTGTACATGCATTCTTAAGACTTAAGGTCTTAAGACCACACTTTCACCTGCAATTACCTTTGTAAATAGTAGTACTTACACTTTAATAATAATAATCAAAGAGGATTATTAGAATGTTCTTAACACAAATTTACCATGCCATCTTAATGTGCATGCAAGTATCTACTTAATCAAAATTTTGAAATGACATTAGGTGTTTGCTAAAATGTATTTATTATACATATTTGCAAAGAAGCATATTACTTATATCAGGTATACATTATTTACATGTATAAGAGTGTTTAGAGCTATGGTAAAGGAAAACACTTCTGTGAGAAGACGCAGGAGGCTGCACTAAATGTAAATCAATACTTCTTAACATGTTTAACAGACTATTTCTAAGTAATCCTTCTTTGCATAAACTTTTATTTTCTCAGTTCTGTAGTTCAATTTGTGGCATATCTCAAGAGTGCATTGCTTTACTCAAAACAATGGACTTTGTGTTAGAATTGAAGTTAAGTGATGTTAAATGAGGATGGGTTGAGAAAGCAGGCATTAGCTTCTTTCTGTTAATTTCTCTCTTTTGTTCTCCTAGTTGGTCAGTGAAGCAGTAAATCATTTAGTCAATCACTCATCCTTTACCTCTGCTTGGAATCGAGGAGAGCTCTCTGGATTGTAATCAAGACGTTTTTTTGGAGGCTTCACCCAGAGGTGGGACAGAGGCGGGAATAGCAGAGAAATGGTGACATAACAAGGGAGAAATTAAAGTCACATGACTATGAAAGCAACAATGTGACGACCACAAACTAAAGTTGCACATATGCAACAAAAACACTACACACACTGCAGTACAGCTCCTTTTATATAAACACAACGTATAGCACGCCAAGCCAAAGACTACTAAACTACACACACCTTGCACAAAGAGTGAAAATCTAATTTGTAAAGTCATGCAAATATGGTCAAATTAATCCACAACAGTAGTTGAATGTGTGCAAATCAAAGCCGGAAATGCAAAGACAAAAATTCTAGTGGGAGGGAGCAAGGCTCATTTACACAGAACCTGATATTGGTTATTCATCACACTCCAGCACATGTGTTACAGTGTCCAGAATTGTCTACTCGTTCCAACCAGTCATTTCAGACATGTCCACCACAGACCGACAGCACGTATCTGACCTTTCCACCCCCACACCAATCACAAGCGGCATGCTAGCAACACCAAAGCCACACTTACCGGCCGCCCAAACTCCAGTTCAGCAAAGAACTTATACCACGGCTCATTCTCTAAATCTATGTCCTCTGGCCTTAAGTTACTTGTCTGGTGTTGGAAGAAGACGAAAGGAAGGGATGAAACGAGATAATCATGCGAATGTGACAGTCAGATACAGATGTAAAATGAGGAATGGCAAGAAATAAGGGAACATCATTGATTTGTGAAGTTTCACTTTGTTGAAAATAGCAAAAGAGCAAAGGCTTTTTTATTTTATTTTTCCGCTCCTATCCAGCAGGGGGTAGCGGCACATAACAAACGCTCACTGCACAAGGACAAACTGCTCTAGCAGAAGCAAATTGGTTTCTCTAACCTTATTAGTGACCTTGACCACATTACGCTCTAATGGACCCGCAATTTATCTGCTCTATTGAGTGACTCTGCACAGGCTTGCTGAAGCACTTCTGCCCGATTAGGGCAAATGTTTGTGGAGGTTCTTTTAACAAATACAGAAAGCCTATCATGTAGCTTCAACTGTTGCTGCGTATTGTCAATACAATTCTATTAATATACAAGAACAACTCAGTTTAGTCTATCAACATTCGATGTATCATGCTTGCAGCGCTGCTGACACTGGGACTCGCCGATTGATAGTCGATCTGTCTATATCCATAAAGCCATGGGGCGTTAATTCTAAGATTGATATGTTTGTGCCTTCAAATACTAAACTCAAATAGTAAAAATGCCTCATAAATTTAATGCACTTTGTATAACCAACTTTAAACAAGCCATAAATAATTAAGTTACTTTAAATCTAGGCTAATTTAATTCCATTCATTGCCATTTTAAAAGTTCACACAAAAATGATAAAACATTCAATTTTAAAAGTCACTGAATACCTACCGCTCTCTCTTGCTCTAAAATAGATGACTTCCCCGGCTCATAGTCAAAGATGCTTCTCGGCTCTGCTCTGTATTTCCGTGTGTCCACCTTTCTGTCAGGAGGCCCCCACTCATTCCTGAGAGACAAATATTGCCTGAAAATTGGAACTTAGTAGCTGTAAATCCTTTAAATTAAGTTTGCCTGAGAAGTGTTGTTGTCAGTATAAGTATGGATGGGTGATTCTCACATGTCAGGTGTGCTCCTGCCTCTCTGTGGTGCCTCCCTTTCGCTGGATCTCTGCTGTGTGGATGCTGATGTAGGCAGAGGGGTTGGGAGAGAAGAGGAGGCAGGCACCCTGAGACCGTATATTCCGTTATCAGAAACACTCTTGGTAATGGGCCGGTAGGTGCTGGTTTTAGGTGCAGGATGGGCCTGAGCAGCATTAGGTGCAGCATGCTTATCTGAAAGAAATAACAACACATAATATACTGTAACAAATATATAATACTAAATGTAATAAATAATAATAAACGATACTAAATAATTCCTCCAAATTAATACAGTACATTGTAACCAATTTTTACATTGTTTTTTTTTGTTAGTTTTTTTGTATATATGTGACCCTGGACCACAAAACCAGTCATAAGGGTAATTTTTTTTTTTAATTGAGATTCATACATCATCTGAAAGCTGAATAAATAAGCTATCCATTGATGTATTTGGCTGAGATACAACTATTTGAAAATCTGTAATCTGAGGGTGCCAAAAAATCTAAATATTGAGAAAATCACCTTTAAAGGGGTCATATGATGCGATTTCAAGTTTTCCCTTCTCTTTGGAGTGTTACAAGCTGATTGTGCATAGATAAGATCCCTGAAGTTGCAAAGACTAAAGTCTCAAACCCAAAGAGATATTCTTTATCAAAGTTAAGACTCTGCCACGCCCCCCTAAAACGGCTCGTTCTAACACGCCCCCACATATCTACCTCACTATGTGGGAATATTTGCATAATGCGCCCAAATGTTCACGCAAAGAAAGAAGGCATGGTTTCAGTAACCGCAGTTAGTGTTGAAGCAGCATGTCAGGGAGACGCTGTGTGTTTCTAGGCGAAAGCAAAAGCACTTTATTTGGCCTTCCGAAAGTAGATGCATTTAGGAATCTGAATTTCCCTTGAGTCAAATGTGCCATTGCCACACAAGGTGCACATACTCCCTACCCTATGAGATGGTGAAAAGTTTTGACCTCTAACAGGCGATCCGCAGGACCTCCTAGACATCACAGGGCTACGAGGGGGCTTACCAACAACCACAACATCACGCCTTAACACAGACTGAAAGAACCAGAGCCGAGAGAAGCTGACATGAATGTTATGTGCAGTCATATATAAAAACATTTTACAAAAGTATACACTACCATTCAAAAGTTTGGGGTCAGTATGTTATTTAAAAAAAATAAATTAATACTTTTATTCAGCAAGGATGCATTCAATTGATCAAAAGTGACAGTTAAGAGTTAAAAACTGAATGTTAAATAAATGCTGTTCTTTTGAACTTTCTATTCACCAAAGAATCTTGAAAAAAATGTATCAATATGTAAAAACTGTTTTTGACATTGTTTCTTGAGCAGCAAATCAGAATGATTTTCGAAAGGTCATGTGACACTGAAGACTAATGATGCTGAAAATTCAGCTTTGCGATCACAGGAATAAATTACATTTTAAAATATATTAAAATTTTAATAATATTTAACAATATTACTGTTCTTACTGTTTCTGATAAAATAAATATAGCATTGGTGAACATACAAAATCATACCAAACCTGATTTTTTTTAATTGTAGCGCAATATATTTATACAAAAAAGTTCAAAAAATATTCTTCGTACAATTTACTCATGGACAGAATTGTGCCTGATTCTTTTTGCTCTAAATGTCTCATTATTTATTCTGTTACCCAAGCATCCGTTTTGAGCACTCTTTGTTTGTTTGTTTCCATGCCAGTGGACAGAACTAATAGGGCAAGGCCCATAAAGCTAATTTAAAAGGAAGAAATAGGTGATTTAAATATGTCTACGACTTATTAATTATTAATGATTCTAGCTCCCCATATAACTGTAATAATTTACTGTATGTCAGACATATGAACTACATTGTTGTGTTTCATTTATGAAGTGCACACACTGTGGTGCAATACATCTCTCATGGAAATGCATACCGCAGAGATGATGTACTTTAAGTTATATAGGTCACTTTAATAGGGAATGTTAGTGCCTGTATTATGGAGTGGTAAGACTAGGGGGAAGGGTGGAGGAGGATGAGCGCTGGTGCAGTCACTAACAAGTAGCTTGTCTTTACCTTGACCTTTGGGGAGCGGAGGTCCTGTCGGGAGAACAGTTTTGCAGAGGGAGGGGGCGACTGTGAAACCCCGGGCAGAGGGGGGGTGGAGCGCGGGGAAGGGGGAGAGTATTTAGCCGATGAGGGCAGTGTGAACGGCAATGACATCTGTGAGGACAGGGGAGAGAGACGTGGAGAGGCATTCTGGGAAACTTCACCCTGCTGGTGTGGAGACGAAAACAGTTATACATGCCACAGACATACGCTCATCATCCTCTACAGATGCTTCAGGATTTAAAGGTGAAGTGTGTCATTTTTTGTGCCGTTAACGACACCAAACAGAATTGCACAAATTAGTGATGCGCTGAAATTCTAAAAATATTCATAATCAAAATGCGGCATCAGCCCTCTAAAACTATTTATAAATAAATAAATTTCCAGCTGAGGTGGATAATAATGCTGGGTTTATAACATTCATTTTTATAATATTAAAATTAACTCCTTTTTAATCTACAGTATCTTTATTTTGATGAACCAACATCTTTTAGGCTATGCTGTTTTCTTTTTGTTGATGAGTAAACAAAACTTCACTAAACATTATTTGTAGTGCACCTACCATCCAGTAATTGCAATAAGCTTTGTGCTTCGTTACTTTTGGGTCTGAATGGAAAGATGTAAACAAAACAGCTTGCAAACAATGTTACATTATATTTATCTCAGGAAAGCCATTCAATGTCCATAGCTTGTTAGTCAGCCAGAAAAATAACTCCAGAGAGGAGCATTTTGCTAAATATATACACCATATTATATATTAATTTTATTTTTACTGAACCTGTTGTTTTTATTATTTAATGTATGTTTGAATAAATCTGTGATTTAAAAAATATCACAGCCACCATTTAAATGCTTATATTAAAAACAGCCTAATATGCCATTTAAATGTTTATAAACAACTGTTGATTGTTAAATAAATTTGATTTCTTCTTCTTATTATAAATTTTTATACTTTACTTTCAATTTTGCTTTTCGTCTAAAAATAAAAGTGATTTCAGGTTTGGTGTTTTGATAAAAAATTAATTTCAATGCATCACAGGCAAAAAAATAACGACCAATGAAAAAAAAAATAAAAGTATGATCCAAAAACTTGAAATTTAGTATTTAGTCATCTAAAACATTACACACTTCTCCTGTAAGGGAATCTATTTTGACTGTTCATTTGGGCGGTATAACCACACAGCGAGCACTACCTCAAAATCTGACCCCTCACTATGGGCGGGTTGGACTGGAGTAAATGTATTTGATGGCAGGGGTTCATTTGTCTCCTCCTCTATAAACAGTCTGGGAAGCTTTTCCATTACATCTGGTTCCTGGCGATAAAATCCCTCCTCTTCTTTGAACCTGCCCTTTGATTGGCTGGCCTTAATGATTGACACTAACTCCTCACACAGATCATCCTCGGGGTCTTTAGGTGGAAGAATGTCCAATGGGGATTCATATGCCTCTAAAACAGGGGGGTCTGTCTCGACTGGTTTGTGGAGGTCTTTGCAATCTGAGAACAACTGCAGTTCTTTCTCGGCTAAATCTGCTTTTTGGCTGGAGAGGATCTCTCTGTGAAGTTGCATTTTTATCCTTAAGCCATGTTTAAAAATGCATGAATCTTCCACTAATGTTTGACAACCAAGTGTCCAAATACATTGCAATTTTAATAGAACACTACAGTTCAAGTTTGTGGTCAGTGCATATTTAATTGACTGACTTTCACATTGTTACAAAAGATTCATATTAGAAAAAATGCATCATGGTTTCTGCAAAAAATATTGACAAGCACAACTGTTTTCAACATTGAAGATAAAAAGAAATGTTTCTTGAGCACGTTAGTGATCATAAGAGACTTCTTTCAAAAACATTACCAAGCTAAAAAATCTTACTAGCTCCAGTGTATATCTGTTGATTTATCATTTAAAAGCTTAAAAACTTGTTTAAAAGTGTGCTTGTACTATTTTTTTATTTTTTATTAATGACATTGGTTTGATATTTTGTTATCTAATGCAAATTGTGAAGTTGCATTTTTATCCTTAAGCCATGTTTAAAAATGCATGAATCTTCCACTAATGTTTGACAACCAAGTGTCCAAATACATTGTAATTTTAATAGAACACTACAGTTCAAGTTTGTGGTCAGTGCATATTTAATTGACTGACTTTCACATTGTTACAAAAGATTCATATTAGAAAAAATGCATCATGGTTTCTGCAAAAAATATTGACAAGCACAACTGTTTTCAACATTGAAGATAAAAAGAAATATTTCTTGAGCACGTTAGTGATCATAAGAGACTTCTTTTAAAAACATTACCAAGCTAAAAAATCTTACTAGCTCCAGTGTATATCTGTTGATTTATCATTTAAAAGCTTAAAAACTTGTTTAAAAGTGTGCTTGTACTATTTTTTTTTTTTTTATTAATGACATTGGTTTGATATTTTGTTATCTAATGCAAAATATCTATCTTTTTAAGAGTAGCTTAAGTGTCCAAATACAGTGCATGTACCATAGTACAAAGTTAAAATGTGTTTGTGACAATGTTTGCTATAATAAGAAAAGATACTAGTCCAGTCCAGTCATATTAGTTCACCTTCACAGAAACTTTTCTTTCAGTAACAGCAGGAGCCAAGCAGCACATGTATAGCGCAGCAGGTCATGTCCACATTTTAATTAGCCTATACTGCATACTGTCAGGACGTGTGATTAATCTGATATAATCCTGCTCTCGTGTGAGCGAAGGAATAAGCCTATACTTCTTTGTTCTTTAGATGGAATTACAACTCAAGGGCATTTAATCTGAATTCAGGCTTATCTTACACAACAAGCCAAAGGTAATCTAAAGATGACAGAGGTGATCTATTTTGGCACCGGGACAGCTGCCATCTGAGAAAGGATTAATTTTATACTTGCCACCTTGTTGGCACTGATAGTACTGTACATGACCTATGGCAATATGAGTAACATGAGATGAATGAGAGGCTTTACTGCCTCTGACGCCACCGTTTGTCGGCACGGATCATGTATTTAAAGTGTAAGTCAGTATTTATCCAGATAAGATTATACAGTCACTTAAACGGGTCATATGATGCTATTTTAAAGATCATTATTTGGAGTATTTGGTGTAACAGAATATGTTGACATGCTTTAATGTTCAAAAAACACATTATTTTTCAAATACTAATTGTCATAGCAAAGTCGGAATTGACCCATTTTTTTTTTTTTAGAAATAGCCTTTGTGGACAGCCAGCCTCGTACTTTCCTAGGTTCACAAAACGTTTTTTCGTCCATAAAATGCGTTGCACAAATTTGAAAATTTGGGTTGTGCTGTTCTGTTGTAAACAGATCTTAACAATGATTCCTAAATGCATCTACTTCTGGAAGGCCAAATAAAGTGCTTCTGCTTTCGCACTGAAACACACAGCGTCTCCCTGACATGGCTACATCAACACTACTGCGGTTCCTGAAACCACGCCTTCTTTCTTTGCTTGCACATTTGGGCGGCATTACGCAAATATTTCTACATCGTGACATAGACATGTGGGGGTGTGTTTGAACAAGGCGTTTTAGCCCGGTTTGGATCAGCCTTCTCTTTTAGATAGAATAAATCCTTTTGTGGGAGTCTTTGAGCTTTGTAAATCTGCAGATCATATACGTGCACAAACAGCTACATAACACATTAAAGAAAAGGAAAAATAGAAATCGCATCATATGACCCCTTTAACTGGATCATTTTGTGGATGTAAGTTACCTGAAATTCAGATATGTGTAGTAACCATGATTTAAACCTCATGAGACTGTAACATGATATATGTTTTAGACATTTTAGGTAAATTTCAAGTGGACTTGCAGATGAAAACGTACCCTACTGTTTAGCCTGTCACTGGAGTAGCTGGAGGGTATACTGGGCCCTGGAGGTTGACCGGTACTTTGTACTGAAGCCTTCTTAACGACGTCCACATACGACATAGGAAAAATCCCTTGTTTGTTTGTACCTGGGATTTTGCCCTCAAACCAGTTCTTATCCACCTGCCGCAACAGAACAACACGCTCGCCCTGGAAGACACCAACACAAGATATATTTGGTGGATCAAAGGCAAAATTTCAGAATTGCAAAATGACAAAATCATAACCAATTATAATGTTTTTGATTTTTAATATACAACTATATGAAGAGGCTGTTGCTGGTTGAGGCAAATGTTCCATGTTTTTTTTTTTATGTGTTTTCTGTCTTCTTAGAAATCTCTAAGAAATCTTAGATCTTCTGTCTTAAGATTTCATTAGAACAGCATTTGGTAAAAAGTGAGGATTATTTAGCAAAAGACATGCTCATAAAGTGGTAAGAAACATTAAGAAGTGGATTAATGAGCACTTGCTGAAACGAAAAGATATTTATGACATCAGTACTAAGAAAATGTTTACTTTTCGTAATGAAAGTTCCACATTAGTATCAGCATTAAAGTTGTAACGGGCAATTGCTTCCCCAATTTCTTTGCTTTGAGCTGGTGGAGGAGGTCTAGCTGGCTGATGTCTCTCTGAAGGGGGGATTTTCTGTGAAGAGAGAAGTTAAAAGAGGCTACTTCAGACTCCAGAAGATAGTTAATAATCATAATGATGTTCTATATATCATCATTAAAGTACACACCTCCACATATGAGATGGGGAAGATGCCCACGTGTCCGTGGTGTTCTCCTTCATACCAGTTATTATCTATCTGCCGAGTGATGTATACCGTCTCTCCTTTCTTAAACGTCAGCTCTCTGGAAGGAAATAAAAAATCAAGTTAACAATATTCCACATGCAAAGGAATTATGCAAAGGAAAGACATAAATAATACATGAAAATGTACTGACTGAATGTGGCACATCAAATGCAGTAAAAACAGTAACTGGTGACATGGTTTGCAAGCTGTTCTTACTTTGCTGTCTGTGCTTTGAAGTCATATATTGCTCTGGCTGGCAGTTTCTGTCAAGCGAATGAAGCAAAGAAATCAAACTTTATTATGTTGTCATGAGGTGGGTTTATTTGCAGTTTGATCAAAGCCTAGATAAAATATTAATGATACTACTAAAATTTTGCAGAAACATATTACTATTACTATATGTTCCTACCTCTTTGACATCAGGGGTTTGTCTCCTGCTCTGTGGTATGCGGTGGCCCACATCAGGGTAAGAGTATTCTCTGGATGTGTCCTGATCTAGAAAGAACAGAGAGATAAAACGATTCAAAGACAAGCCTCACAAAGATCCAACACTATTACATGCATGGGAACAAGCAATAGCAAAGGAAACAATGATTTGGGGCTTGATGAGAGAAATGCAGACAAAATAAAAAGAAAACATGAAAAAGTAAATACAAAAATTTATTTTATTGACCAATGAAAAGTAAATAATGTAAATAAAAATGTATACATATTTAGTTTGTCCATAATAATGAAGTAAGCTTCCATGAATCATCTCAGAAGTTGTTACACCCATCCTCTAGACTCATATCCCCAGTATAGATCATGTGTATTTATACTAGAACCGCAAATGGTTAGCTGGCATCTGTGCCAACTGTGGGCAAGCCCCCTTGCTCTAAACAGTCTTCATTTATAAACACTGTGCACTATGCAAACGAATACAGTGTCGCATTTCTTAACGATTAAAAAAAAGAATCATAAAGCAATGACCTTATGCCAAAACAAATTACTAAAACTTTAGGTACTGAGGCTGATCTCATCATCTATGTCAGGTTTGACAGAGTGAACTGTGTTAACACTCATAAGAGAGTATGTTTCTTCTCAAGCCAATAAAATCTCAAATCTGTTTTTAGATTGCATGCTTCAGCTGCTCAAGTCATCTGTCCAATGCTATTTATATAGAGTGAAACTTCACAAAGTTATATTTCTTTTGTGGCAAGCCCACACACTAACTAGTGTTCCTCTAGTGTTCTGATTCCCAGAGAACGTATGAACCTAATCAAATGTATACCTTCAAGCATCTTCCAAATACAGCAATGTATTATTAATGGAGTGGGAAAATAACTTTAAATAAATGTTTGATCAAAGAGAAGCAAACAAAATATAATGTGATATGAGAAAATGAAATACATAAGGACAAAATCAAAAATAAAACTAGACAAGGCAGAGGATGTGGGTATGAGTCATGCTCTCTGACGTTCCCTGAAACATAACAATTCCTTCCTCTAAACCAGGGGTGTCCAGTCCTGCTCCTGGAGGGCTACTGTCCTGCAGAGTTTAGCTCCAACCCCAATTAAACACACTTGAAGCAGTTAATCACCATCTTCAGTCTTACTCGAAACTTGCAAGCAAGTTGGAGCCAAACTCTGAAGCAGTGGTTCTCTGAACCAGTCCTGGGGAACCAGTGGTCTGCACATTTGGTATGTCTTCCTTATTTAACGCACCTGATTCAGATCATCAGCTCGTTAAGAGGGAGCTACATGAGGCTTTCACACGCTATCGGAATTATAGTAAACACAAGTTTCCTAGTCAGAAATTGGACATGAATGGCCTCCCTAGTCATATTTGCAGCTGGGAAACTGAGATAATTTTGATACATGAGTTGGGCGAGCCATAAACTTTAAATATGGCAGAGGAGAGAAACGTAGCATTAGTACTGTAAAGTTGTATTAATTTTTCTCACAACATCCACATTGCTTTCTCCTGCCATTACAGTCATGTATATTTACTAGTGCTGTCAAACGATTAATCGCATCCAAAATAAAAGTTTTTGTTTGCATAATATATGTGTGTGTACTGTGCATATTTATTATGTATGTATAAATACACACACATGCATGTATATATTTAAGAAAAAATCGCCATTGGCTAGTAAATTGTTTTGTTTACTCGCCAGATGGATATACTATTTTACACACACACACACACGTTTACTTAGCTATCTAAATGGGGACATTACATAGACTTCAATTGTTTTTATATACAGATAGTTATACACTTTTTTACCTAAACCCACCCCTAACCCTACCCCTCACAAGAAAACCTTCTGCATTCTTACAATTTCAAAAGTAAAAGTTTACGGTACGTCAAATACAGGTGCGCTGTGTGCTACATACTGCGCATCCATTGAGTCCATGACATGATCTATTGAGCGCATCCAAATAGTACAGATCATTGACGGAGAGCAAAACTCTCAAGCGCTCAGTCAGCGTGTTTATCGAGTGAAAATCTGTGTTGAACGCCTCTCACACACATACTGGCGTGTAAAATCTAAGAATATATTAATCAATGGCTAATGTTAGACGTTATTTAGTCACCCAGAGTAAGATTTAGTCGCATATGCGAGTGATTTACTCGCAATGTAGAGGGTTGATATACATAATAAATATACACAGTGTACACACATATATTATGTAAACAAACACAGCACTAATATTTATATATATAAATAACCATTTAATGTATATTGTGTGCATTGAAGACTGGGAAAATAGCATTTATTTGACCAAAATTTAGGAATCGTCAGCCAGCTGAATATCTAGATAGCACTGTGAATATTTATACTGTATGGCTACCAATTAATGGGACCCTACATTTTATTCAAAACCTGTTGGACATTGACTAAATATCTTCTAAAGTATACCTTTTGGCTTTAATAAAAATTTCCCCAAGAAACAGACTGGATTTCTGTTCTTTCTGACAACAAAGCACTTGAACATGACAAACTCTAATTACAACTTCAGAAGTGGGAAGTAGGAAGTTTCCGATAGCACGTGAAGGCAGCATGAACGGAGTATGTCAGATAAGACAGAAATGCAAAATGTACAGAGCGGTGGGTACCCAAAACTGAAGTTGAGGACTACTGCGCTAAAGGATGTTGGCCTTCCAGGAGCAGTTTTGGACACCCTTGCTCTAAGCAAGCACATTAACAAACACAAATGGAACATAGCAATGGTGGAGGAGTAGAACTCAAACACGGGGGACAGAATGGGATTTGGGAAGCCAGAGATGGATGAGTACAGTCCACCTTGATAGCAGTATTCAAAGTTGTGTTTCCTCTGGTTGTTGTTGCTGTCTATATGGTTGTGAGAGGCACTATAGGACAGGTGTGAGTACTCAGATTGGTGAGTGTCCTGGCTGGGCATGCCGTCAGGCTGTGGGTGGTAAGAGTGAGGCTGAATTGTTGGGCTGTTTCTCTCTAGTGCGTGTAGAGACGAATTCCTCTCAGGAATGTCAGGAAGCAACTCCACCAGCAACCTATGAAGGATGCTGTTGTCCGGCAGGTTACCCCTGTGCTTCTCGGAGCGGATGTGGTCGTAGATGTCTTTCAGGGCCGAATCTAGAGCCTCATACATACAGCTCTTAGAGTTTGGCACTCGGGAACAACTCAAAGGTGACAGGTTCTTCCGGCGGAAAGGCACTGGGCTGACCAGGAAGGCGAGTTTGCTGAGGCCGAACTCAGACTCCTCTACTCGCAAATGTTGCCTCCGGTCCTGCTTGGCTCTCTCGTGCTTGATCATAGTGGTGAAGCGCGTGTAGGAAGCCGGGCAGCGGCCCTTACAGGAGCTCACAAGCTGCCTGTGATAATGATGGGGGTGCCCAGATCCACAGAAGCTCTCGGTGGAGGCAAATGAACACACGTCAAACTCCCTCTCGCTACAGAAGGATGATCCCTCAATCTGGATGAAGTCGCTAAGGTCAGACACTACAGCATCATGTTCGCTGTCTGAGTAGTCGTGTTGCATGGCAGAGTTCTGTAATTGGTCACTGGTGACTTGAATGTGGATTGGCATGTGGGTGCTTCTCTTGGGATATTGAGGCCGTCCTTCAGGAGGATTTCTGGCTGGTGATTCTTCATCCAGTAATGACTCAATAGAGAGGCTACGCTTGGGACTGCTGGCCCCCCTACAAGAACTCCTGATCAGGCACTCGTCCCCAAGATTTGGCATGGATTTGGACTTCTGGATTAGACTTTCGAATTTAGAAATCCTATTGTGCACCATGTCCCGAGGCACCTCTTCGTTACAGCCCTTGTTGCCAGTGCGTCTGTCCTTCCGCTGTTCGCTCTCATACTTATGGATCCTGGCTTTGACGGAGCATATCACCGTAGAGTTTATCAGCTCTTGTCGGTTGATATGATGCATCTTTTTGTAGAGTTTGAGGAAGCCTGGTGCATCGTGGGCTGAGTGGTGCCTTGTCCTCTCCCTAGGATACTCCGATTCTTGGGCGCCAATGCATTGTGATGCCTCTAGTTCCCCGTTGTGCAACAAAAAGCCGGTGCTTTCCGAATGGGTCTGCACTTCCTTTTCCCTCCCCTCAGAGAGAAGGTCATCACAACTCCAGGATTTGAGCTTAGACGTGGTCTCCTCTGAGATCATCCAGTCTTCTGGGTTCTCTTGGGCTGTTTTCCAGCCTTCGGGGAGGCTGGAGAAGCCTTCTGAGACAGCTGGGACAGCTATGAAACTGTCCTCATTTTGCCCTTTCTTTTGATATGTGGATTCTGAGGTAGCATGGTTTGGACTTTGACCATTTAAATGTGCTGTGTGCATATTGCTCACATCCCCACCTTAGATATCCACCACAAGCAGCATGGTGAAAAAAGAGACATGAGAAGACATTAAAAGGTAAGTGACCCACAGGAGAGAAAAGTAAGGATGTTTATACTACGACCTGGAGGAAAACTGGAAAGAAATCAGACATCAACAAGGCCTCGATGAATAAAGAAGCAATTGATATGCTACACTACACTGAGGCAAGATTGTAAACACTAAATAATTAATTGAACTTTATTCATGCAAAGGGAAAGTCATTTAAAATTCTGCTTGCGCTGCGAGGAGCAAAATGAAAATTGTGTGTGAACCTTCTGTTGCTTATTCTTATAATAATGTTCACAAGTCTGGCTGCTTGTCTGATGTCTACCTTTAGTCCTGGTGGTGGCAGGCGAGCTGGGGCTGGTGAGGGGATTCCTCCTGGGTAGCTCTAGTGGTCTGACAGATGTTTGTGTTGTGCCCACACTGCTTTGAGCCCTGGGCTGAGTGGCTGCAGGTTCAGATTTCCGTCTCTTGTTATCACTGGCAGAGCTGCAAAATCAATGTGGTTGAAGATTTGTAAACAATATATTCAAAAACGTAATAAACAATGTTAAAAAAGGGGAACAAGTTTAGAATGAATTGCAATCCTAATCTCCATTTGAAAGTAATGCCATGGTTTCTCACCTATACAGTGACCTTAAAATATATTGGAAAACAAAAATCAAACCAAGTGGCATTTTTTTTTGCATGTTTGCAAAATGTTTCACAAGAAGATGTCTGTTAGATTTGATAGTATTATATATAATATATTATAAAATATTTTAGTGATTGATACAAAAGAATATTACAAATAAGACAAAAAGTAGTCAGACACTTTCTGAATGTTATAGAAGAACAAGTTCTGTAATGTCATGACCTGCACAATGCATCCCTTAAGACTGACCTTGGGACCAGTTGGTTAAAAGTCATTGCAAAAATGTTTTGAGAAAAGTGTCACTTTGTTTGATATTTTAAAAACATAGATAGATACTTTTTAAAAATCTATGCAATAAAATATATATTTGTGTGACTTCAAATAATTTCAATGCATTTACAGTTAAACCTACCTTGAGAGCGTTTCAAGGCTCCTCTCTATGGATGGCTGATAAAGGGAGGTCTGCAACAGATGAAGGAGAAAAAGCAGGGTGAATTCTTTGCTTATTATCCAAACTTACTTTATAGTAGGTTCCTTGATACCCAGCGCTCTCCTTCACAAATCCAGCAATGGTTATATCAGTGAAACTCCCAATGTCTGGACACAGTGATGTGGGCCAGCTGTCCCTTGAAAACCCAGCCATTCCCAGGACAGCTAGACACGTCAGATCACTTACGAGGGTTTCTATGTCGAACAAAGCAGGGAATTCCTTGTACGCATGGCTGGAGTAGATAATCATCTTCCTGTTTGCTGAAGCTCTGAGCAGTGTTATCTGGAACAGCTCTTCAGACCAGCAGCAGACGCCCCTCGCATTTTTTAACCCTCTTTAAAAGTAGCCCAAGCATGCAGTACCGGGAATGTCTCCTCAGTTAGACACATTTACATCTAGTCAACATAAATACAGCTCTGAGTGACAGATACGACACTAGCAGGCTCAAAATTGGGCTGTAAAGCCTCTGTGACAATTTTGAGCAATTCTTTGTTTGGATTTACAGCATTCCTCAAACCATAACTGTTACTACACTGGCCTCTTAGTTACGTTCTCTCCTTACAGTGGTCAGTAGCAGTTCACAGGGAGCAAGTGATCAAAAAAAACATTAAGAAAAATTAACTAAAAAGCTGCGCCACTTGCATGTGGTAGTTATATGCCTGTGCATATGTCTTGATCACTAACAAATTCAGTTTAACTATGTGCAAAATGCACTGAAATGTGCACTCTTTCAATCACGCCTCCTTTCTGTGTAAATATGATAAACATAGATCATTACAGATGTGCCATGATTACAAAACATATGCATTCCATGTTACTTGATTTGCATAATTCTGAATAGCGTGTGAAAACAAATTAGTGTGTGTGCAGGAAAGCGACACTATTAATTTATTCTAAATTAATTATTCCCGTTGACAGCCAGCAAACTATATTTACAATGGCAGAAAAAAGTCTGTGAGTGAAAGAGGAGATGTAATGTGATACTGTAGATGGCATGTCCATAGATCCTTCACCTACAACAAACACATGGACAGAATCGGCAGATGACAGCCAGGAGGAAGTGCTCCTGTCTCACGAGAAATAAATGATGTAATACTAGAATGAAATGTTATTATGATAAGAGAAGCAAATGCAGGTGTACATGCATTCTTAAGACTTAAGGTCTTAAGACCACACTTTCACCTGCAATTACCTTTGTAAATAGTAGTACTTACACTTTAATAATAATAATCAAAGAGGATTATTAGAATGTTCTTAACACAAATTTACCATGCCATCTTAATGTGCATGCAAGTATCTACTTAATCAAAATTTTGAAATGACATTAGGTGTTTGCTAAAATGTATTTATTATACATATTTGCAAAGAAGCATATTACTTATATCAGGTATACATTATTTACATGTATAAGAGTGTTTAGAGCTATGGTAAAGGAAAACACTTCTGTGAGAAGACGCAGGAGGCTGCACTAAATGTAAATCAATACTTCTTAACATGTTTAACAGACTATTTCTAAGTAATCCTTCTTTGCATAAACTTTTATTTTCTCAGTTCTGTAGTTCAATTTGTGGCATATCTCAAGAGTGCATTGCTTTACTCAAAACAATGGACTTTGTGTTAGAATTGAAGTTAAGTGATGTTAAATGAGGATGGGTTGAGAAAGCAGGCATTAGCTTCTTTCTGTTAATTTCTCTCTTTTGTTCTCCTAGTTGGTCAGTGAAGCAGTAAATCATTTAGTCAATCACTCATCCTTTACCTCTGCTTGGAATCGAGGAGAGCTCTCTGGATTGTAATCAAGACGTTTTTTTGGAGGCTTCACCCAGAGGTGGGACAGAGGCGGGAATAGCAGAGAAATGGTGACATAACAAGGGAGAAATTAAAGTCACATGACTATGAAAGCAACAATGTGACGACCACAAACTAAAGTTGCACATATGCAACAAAAACACTACACACACTGCAGTACAGCTCCTTTTATATAAACACAACGTATAGCACGCCAAGCCAAAGACTACTAAACTACACACACCTTGCACAAAGAGTGAAAATATAATTTGTAAAGTCATGCAAATATGGTCAAATTAATCCACAACAGTAGTTGAATGTGTGCAAATCAAAGCCGGAAATGCAAAGAGAAAAATTCTAGTGGGAGGAAGCAAGGCTCATTTACACAGAACCTGATATTGGTTATTCATCACACTCCAGCACATGTGTTACAGTGTCCAGAATTGTCTACTCGTTCCAACCAGTCATTTCAGACATGTCCACCACAGACCGACAGCACGTATCTGACCTTTCCACCCCCACACCAATCACAAGCGGCATGCTAGCAACACCAAAGCCACACTTACCGGCCGCCCAAACTCCAGTTCAGCAAAGAACTTATACCACGGCTCATTCTCTAAATCTATGTCCTCTGGCCTTAAGTTACTTGTCTGGTGTTGGAAGAAGACGAAAGGAAGGGATGAAACGAGATAATCATGCGAATGTGACAGTCAGATACAGATGTAAAATGAGGAATGGCAAGAAATAAGGGAACATCATTGATTTGTGAAGTTTCACTTTGTTGAAAATAGCAAAAGAGCAAAGGCTTTTTTATTTTATTTTTCCGCTCCTATCCAGCAGGGGGTAGCGGCACATAACAAACGCTCACTGCACAAGGACAAACTGCTCTAGCAGAAGCAAATTGGTTTCTCTAACCTTATTAGTGACCTTGACCACATTACGCTCTAATGGACCCGCAATTTATCTGCTCTATTGAGTGACTCTGCACAGGCTTGCTGAAGCACTTCTGCCCGATTAGGGCAAATGTTTGTGGAGGTTCTTTTAACAAATACAGAAAGCCTATCATGTAGCTTCAACTGTTGCTGCGTATTGTCAATACAATTCTATTAATATACAAGAACAACTCAGTTTAGTCTATCAACATTCGATGTATCATGCTTGCAGCGCTGCTGACACTGGGACTCGCCGATTGATAGTCGATCTGTCTATATCCATAAAGCCATGGGGCGTTAATTCTAAGATTGATATGTTTGTGCCTTCAAATACTAAACTCAAATAGTAAAAATGCCTCATAAATTTAATGCACTTTGTATAACCAACTTTAAACAAGCCATAAATAATTAAGTTACTTTAAATCTAGGCTAATTTAATTCCATTCATTGCCATTTTAAAAGTTCACACAAAAATGATAAAACATTCAATTTTAAAAGTCACTGAATACCTACCGCTCTCTCTTGCTCTAAAATAGATGACTTCCCCGGCTCATAGTCAAAGATGCTTCTCGGCTCTGCTCTGTATTTCCGTGTGTCCACCTTTCTGTCAGGAGGCCCCCACTCATTCCTGAGAGACAAATATTGCCTGAAAATCGGGAATAGCAGAGAAATGGTGACATAACAAGGGAGAAATTAAAGTCACATGACTATGAAAGCAACAATGTGACGACCACAAACTAAAGTTGCACATATGCAACAAAAACACTACACACACTGCAGTACAGCTCCTTTTATATAAACACAACGTATAGCACGCCAAGCCAAAGACTACTAAACTACACACACCTTGCACAAAGAGTGAAAATCTAATTTGTAAAGTCATGCAAATATGGTCAAATTAATCCACAACAGTAGTTGAATGTGTGCAAATCAAAGCCGGAAATGCAAAGACAAAAATTCTAGTGGGAGGGAGCAAGGCTCATTTACACAGAACCTGATATTGGTTATTCATCACACTCCAGCACATGTGTTACAGTGTCCAGAATTGTCTACTCGTTCCAACCAGTCATTTCAGACATGTCCACCACAGACCGACAGCACGTATCTGACCTTTCCACCCCCACACCAATCACAAGCGGCATGCTAGCAACACCAAAGCCACACTTACCGGCCGCCCAAACTCCAGTTCAGCAAAGAACTTATACCACGGCTCATTCTCTAAATCTATGTCCTCTGGCCTTAAGTTACTTGTCTGGTGTTGGAAGAAGACGAAAGGAAGGGATGAAACGAGATAATCATGCGAATGTGACAGTCAGATACAGATGTAAAATGAGGAATGGCAAGAAATAAGGGAACATCATTGATTTGTGAAGTTTCACTTTGTTGAAAATAGCAAAAGAGCAAAGGCTTTTTTATTTTATTTTTCCGCTCCTATCCAGCAGGGGGTAGCGGCACATAACAAACGCTCACTGCACAAGGACAAACTGCTCTAGCAGAAGCAAATTGGTTTCTCTAACCTTATTAGTGACCTTGACCACATTACGCTCTAATGGACCCGCAATTTATCTGCTCTATTGAGTGACTCTGCACAGGCTTGCTGAAGCACTTCTGCCCGATTAGGGCAAATGTTTGTGGAGGTTCTTTTAACAAATACAGAAAGCCTATCATGTAGCTTCAACTGTTGCTGCGTATTGTCAATACAATTCTATTAATATACAAGAACAACTCAGTTTAGTCTATCAACATTCGATGTATCATGCTTGCAGCGCTGCTGACACTGGGACTCGCCGATTGATAGTCGATCTGTCTATATCCATAAAGCCATGGGGCGTTAATTCTAAGATTGATATGTTTGTGCCTTCAAATACTAAACTCAAATAGTAAAAATGCCTCATAAATTTAATGCACTTTGTATAACCAACTTTAAACAAGCCATAAATAATTAAGTTACTTTAAATCTAGGCTAATTTAATTCCATTCATTGCCATTTTAAAAGTTCACACAAAAATGATAAAACATTCAATTTTAAAAGTCACTGAATACCTACCGCTCTCTCTTGCTCTAAAATAGATGACTTCCCCGGCTCATAGTCAAAGATGCTTCTCGGCTCTGCTCTGTATTTCCGTGTGTCCACCTTTCTGTCAGGAGGCCCCCACTCATTCCTGAGAGACAAATATTGCCTGAAAATTGGAACTTAGTAGCTGTAAATCCTTTAAATTAAGTTTGCCTGAGAAGTGTTGTTGTCAGTATAAGTATGGATGGGTGATTCTCACATGTCAGGTGTGCTCCTGCCTCTCTGTGGTGCCTCCCTTTCGCTGGATCTCTGCTGTGTGGATGCTGATGTAGGCAGAGGGGTTGGGAGAGAAGAGGAGGCAGGCACCCTGAGACCGTATATTCCGTTATCAGAAACACTCTTGGTAATGGGCCGGTAGGTGCTGGTTTTAGGTGCAGGATGGGCCTGAGCAGCATTAGGTGCAGCATGCTTATCTGAAAGAAATAACAACACATAATATACTGTAACAAATATATAATACTAAATGTAATAAATAATAATAAACGATACTAAATAATTCCTCCAAATTAATACAGTACATTGTAACCAATTTTTACATTGTTTTTTTTTGTTTGTTTTTTTGTATATATGTGACCCTGGACCACAAAACCAGTCATAAGGGTAATTTTTTTTTTTAATTGAGATTCATACATCATCTGAAAGCTGAATAAATAAGCTATCCATTGATGTATTTGGCTGAGATACAACTATTTGAAAATCTGTAATCTGAGGGTGCCAAAAAATCTAAATATTGAGAAAATCACCTTTAAAGGGGTCATATGATGCGATTTCAAGTTTTCCCTTCTCTTTGGAGTGTTACAAGCTGATTGTGCATAGATAAGATCCCTGAAGTTGCAAAGACTAAAGTCTCAAACCCACTTGTCGGAAGGAGGGACTTCGTAGAAAACGAAGCGTTTGACAGAGGCGGGGCATAGAGGACCTACAATAATGTACAGTATTTGAAAAATAATGTGTTTTTTGAACATTAAAGCATGTCAACATATTCTGTTACACCAAATACACAAAATAATGATCTTTAAAAAAGCATCACATGACCCCTTTAAAGTTGTCCAAATGAAGTTCTTAGCAATGCATATTACTAGTCAAAAATTAAGTTTTGATATATTTACAGTAGGAATTTTACAAAATATCTTCATGGAACATGATCTTTACTTAATATCCTAATGGTTTTTGGCATAAAAGAAAAATCGATAATTTTGACCCATACAATGTATTGTTGGCTATTGCTACAAATATACCCGTGCTACTTATGACTGCTTTTGTGGTTCAGGGTCACATACTAGAATTATTTCTGAAGGGTCATATGACACTAAAGGCTGATGTAATGATGCTGAAAATTCAGCTTTGACATTACAGGAATAAATATTTTAAAATATTTTCAAATTGTTATTTTAAATTGTAATAACAGTTTACAAGATTACACAATATTTAAAATGTTCTCTTACGCTTACCAAGGCTGCATTTATTTGCTAGAGCATAATTTTGATATAAAAATGCTTAAAATTAGACTTTATCAAATAAATGCAGCCTTTGTAAGCATAAGAGGCTTATAAAACATTAAAAACGCAAGTTTAATTATTCTAAACTTGACTGGCAATGCATATGTGTATATATAACATTTTGTTGACATTATAAATTAATTTGTAATAAAGTAATAATCTTTAATTATTTAATTATTAAATTAATTGCTTTTTACTTATTAAAAAACAATAAAAAATATAACTGCAGACATTATGCATAAAATTATGTACAGCTATTTTTATTACTATGGTAAGTATCTGTAATGTGCAACAAGGACACTAAAATAAAGTGTTCCCGAAAAAAAGTTAATTACTGATTATGCTTATTCCTGTTGGTTTATACTAGTTTTAGTTCTTCTAGTTTTGATTATTTGGTATCAACATTATTTGGTAATAAAATAATACTAAATCAAAGAGAGACCTTGTTTGGAAATAGTTGTCCCAGTACTTGTAACAGGATCTGTGGCAGTACGGGACCCAGACCACTCATTATCTGTGAAAACCAATAAGCAAACATGCTTAATATGGATTACATATATCACAAACAGGAACTGCATACAGAGTGCTTTAAACCTAATAATGTAAACAAACTCATTTGTAAGCAGGATGTGGGAGTAAGACAATTAAAAAACATAATAAGATGTGAAATGAAGGGTTTGATCCTGTGACCCCTGTAATCTCTCAGGCAAACCCCCTGACAGTCCAATACCAGTAATGAACGCACTTGTAATCCACAACCTGCTGAGTAAAGCTCTTTTATTGTCACTCCTCTTTAGGTTGCACTTCTCTGCAAAAAATCTATCCCCTTAGCAGACAGGTCCACTATCACACAGAAAATACAGGGAGATTCTGTATATTCCTTGCATTCATAAAACCAACCTGTATAAAACCAAATATCTGTTTGTGTAAAATAATAAATTACAAAAGTGCACAAACTATGATAGTTTGCAAAAATGTTTTCTGTCCATTTCTGTGTTGCATAAGTGCTATAAAAAGTGAATAGAAGAAACTGAACTAAAAATAAGTTGGTATGCGAGTGTTTAACTACTGTAGAAAATTCCTTCCAATAACAACATAATAGGCTTTTTTTTTTTTCTTAGAGCTTATGATTTCTTAATATTAGCATACATTTTTAAGGTAATGGTGGTTTTGTGAACAGAATATTGTATTGTGCATCATTTCCAATTAAGGTATAATTTTGTCAAAATATTAAGTTTAAAAATATGATTTATTTGTGTATTTAAGATACATAAAACACAATCTAAATGCTAGCTAAACTGGTAGTTATTTTACCGCAAAACTGTAATTTTCCTCACAAAATGCTGTACTGTATATAATTTGTGGTAAGAATAGACATTGTGGTAGAAATGTTCTTAACGTTTATAAAAATTCCACCATAAATGCACAAAGTTAAAGAAACTATCATTTGCTTAATTTCCTTCTGTGACTTGAGTGCAAGACAAATATGTATACAATAATACCAAAGGATTATATTTATTCTGAGCTGCACAGTATAAATATGGAAACAAAAGATTAACATCCTGGAACAGCATTCACTCACCGCCCATATGGCAACGGGAATCCCAGACTCATCCACGGGACCGATGCCAGTATAGAGCGGAGCTTTCCCTGTTGTTTCTTTCCTGTCAGTCTGTGGTGCTCGTGCAGGAGGATCCACGTTGGCGTAGATGGGAGTGCTAGACTCAGAGGCTGATGGGAGGAAGACAGGGTCAGGTTGGAGGTGGTGTGTTTTTAGTCATTCTCATGGAACTAACCAACATTCACATGTCAGTAACTGAGAAATACAGCCAGGTCAGGGATGCAGTGCAGACTGTAATTCCAAATCAGGAGAAATAATCCATAAATATGTTGATTCCAGTATTCCGGGATTGAATCATAAACACAGAAAGCAACTCTCCACTCCAGAGTTCTCTGGCATGTACAGGCATTCAGACTGAAGCCTTTTATGGAAAAACAGCTAAATGGGCTCTGGTTCGGAGATAAAGGTCAGCCTCACGCACACAGACGCTGTAATCCCAGTGTCTCAGCTCCTCCCTCACCCCAACCGCTCCGGCACTCAGATTTGAGCTTAATCCCAGGCATTTGCCACTTGGGATTAGAGAGATCGCGGGCGCACACTCAGAGCGGACCAGTCGAGATACGCTTAGTGTCACAGGGCCGGTAAAAATGCACTGCGTTTACTCACGCATTAGTACTTCATTAGAGTCTGGCACATCACTCCAGTGACCAGGGAGAACTGCAATGCTTATGACATATGACACTTGGCTGTACAGATATTTCCAGGACAGGTGGATAGCATTACAATTACTTAAACATCAACAATAGCCATTCTGGAATATGTATTTTTATGGTTCTGCTACTTCATATCATGTCTTTGATTATTTTATAAAGCCATGTTCACTTATTATGGCTGGGTATCAATGCAGACGTCCTCATTCGATTTGATTCTGATTCACAAACTCCATTCGATTTTGATTTGCTATATTTCAGTTAAGATGTTAACCCTCTAGGGTCTGAGGGTGTTTTGGGGTCCTGGAGAAGTTTTGACATGCCCTGACATTTGTTTTTTTCAGTGTCTTAAAACTTATTAATGGCTAAAGTCTGATAACACTGTATTCAGCACAATCTGGGCTACAATAATACATGAGCAGCATGAATGTACATGTTTGTGCTTTTGAGAAAACAATACGTGATTAGTGAAAAACTGACATTTTTAAGTCACTAAAATAAGGCCATAAAACACATACAGAATATTTGTTCACAATATCTTGTTTGCTAACATATAAGAGAAATGTTTTCTCTGCTAATGCTGCAAACCACACATGTGAGTGTTTCAGACTGATTAAAACTAATAATTGAGTATTATTGAACTATTAATTAAAAAAAAAATTCTTCAGGACTCGGGCAACACTGGTCACACAGTGTGTTTTTGGTTTACTAAAATGGACCGGCTAATGAGAGTCATTTGTTTGTGAATCAGACTCCACTGGTCACACAGTATTAGGGTGACCAGATTTCTCAAGGTTCAATACGGGATATATATATATATATATATATATATATATATATATATATATACACACACACACACCTGTACATATTTATTTTTATATAAACACTTAAGCCATAACCGACTGTATTTACATGAGATACTCCACACGATGGACATTTTGACAGCTGTGTGTGTGTGTATTTGATGTGAAGGCGCAAGAAGAACTGATCGCAGAACTGGGATCGCGTGGGCGCACTGCTGAAAGAGCGCTTCTGTTGTGTCATTCAGCGTGATTCCGCCTGTCCCGCCTTCACTTACTGCAAGTTAATCGATAACAAATTGTGATTGGAAGGTAATTTTGTTCTATGACAAGCTAGTCTGTTCTCGCATGACAGAACACTTCTACTACTTGCTCTGATCACCCAGTCATAAAGAAATTTTGAAATACGGGACAAAACATGATTTTTTCTAAATAAGTCGGGACACTAAAAATAGAGCTGAAATACGGGACTGTCCCGGGAAAAACGGGACGCCTGGTCACCCTACACTGTATGTTTTTGATTCACTAAAAAGGACTGGCTTATGAGAGTCATTCATTCATGGATCAGACTACACTGGTCATGCTGTATGTTTTTGACTCACTGAAAAGAACCAACCTGAGAGAGTCATTTGTTTGTGAATCAGACTGCACTGGTCACGCCAAATGTTTTTGATTCAGTAAAGAGGACTGGCTCATGGGAGTCATTTGTTTGTGAATCAGACTACACTGATCATGCTGTATGCTTTTGATTCACTAAAAATACTGTTTTAAAAGAGTAATTTATTCATGAATCAGACATGCCATGCCAAATGTTTTTGATTCTTTAAAAAAAATTACTTAAGAGAGTCAGTTGTTCATGAAGCAGAACACAGTGATCATGTTTTTGATTCACTAAAAAAGATTGGCAACGAGCAGCAGGGGAAATTTTGGGATTCTACGAATCAGTATCGGGATTATTTAAAGAAATATTTTTTATTGGAAAAATTTCTTTTTTTCCAGACCTATTACTTATTTTTCACTATTCGAGAGAAAAGTTTATATATGTAAAGTTTGGATTTACATAATATATGTGTGTGTACTGTGTACTTGTATATACAAATAAATAAATACACACATACATGAAAAAAAAAAATATATATATATATATATATGTGTGTGTGTGTGTGTGTGTGCATGCATGTAAATAGTTCTTGAATATATACATGTATATGTGTGTATTTATGTATGTATAAATACACACAGGTACACACACACACATATATTATGTAAATACAAACTTTTATTTTGGATGCGATTAATCGATTTGACAGCCCTAATACACATACAGCCTGTGGCTGTAGTTAAATAGATACAGTACAAACTGAGATGCAATTACCTAATTCAGTTTCCTTGTTCTTTCCAATGATGAAATCAATAATGATGATGAACGTCATTCACTCAAGAGCATGTGGAAGTGTTAAATTAGCTTCAGTACTCACCAGTGCTTCTAGCCTGCTGCATGGCTGTAATACTAGGGCTCAGTGAAGGAGGAGGGGGGTATGTTGAGGGAGAGAAGGGTCTTTGGAAGTGACTACGAGGACTTGCTGGCACACTCAGACCCCCGTTCATAGTCATCTGGCCCTGTATAACACAACACAAAGATCCTGTTAACTGAAGAAACCTCTTTAGGCATAATAAATTACATTGAGATCGGACTCTTGTGTCACAGATGACATCTGTTAGCCTTAAAGAAAGTTGACAGAGGATAAAGAACGGAACAACAAACAATGAAAACAAAACCCAAAAAGACTAGTAAAATAAACATATAAAAATAAAGTGCCCACCCAAAAAACAACAATGTATTTTAGTAGAATGGCTTTCAGTATTTGGATTTATTGATTTCCAGGACAAACAAGTGTTAGTATTAAGTGTTAGTATACCAAAAGAGATACCACAGGAACAATACAAGAAGTCTCAACAAAACCGTGTTCTCCTGCACCTTTAGTTTTTGACATAGACTGAGAATTTCAGCATACAGATAATCTGTATGGAAAAAGGTGTTAGTGAAGACCCCCGAGACCCTCGATTTGATGTGAATCTAGAAAATATGTTAGTATTGGTATAATCCCAGATGTTACAGTGAGAAGAAGTAGTGAAACAAGTGATATTGGTGTCTATTAATCCAGCCCATAGAAATGCAGAACAATGAAACCAAATTAGAAATAATATACAATAAGTTGTCAAATTGATAAGAGAGCAGAAAAGAAGAGATAATAAATGAAAAAAAAGCATTTGGACTGTGCAATTAAAGGGGACATATCATGAAAAAGGGTGAGACAGAAGATACAAAAAAATATGCTTAAAAAACATTATAAATGGACATAGATATGCTACAGTTTGGGGGCGATAAAGCTTTAAAAATGTTTTTGAAAGAAGTCTCTTTAAGCATTTGGACTGTGCAATTAAAGGGGACATATCATGAAAAAGGGTGAGACAGAAGATACAAAAAAATATGCTAAAAAACATTATAAATGGACATAGATATGCTACAGTTTGGGGGCGATAAAGCTTTAAAAATGTTTTTGAAAGAAGTCTCTTTTGCTCATGAAAGCTGCATTTATTTGATCAAATATACAGTCAAATGCTATTACAATAAAAAAAACAATGTATAATGTATTTTTTTAAAATGTAATTTATTCTTGTGATGGCAAAGCTGAATTTTCAGCAGTCAGTCCTCCAGTCTTTTCTTATTATTATCAATGTTAAAAACAGTCGTGCTGCTTAGTACTTTTGTATTTTTACCTAGTACTTTTATATGAAAACTGTGATTTTTTTCAGAATTCTTTGATAATTAAAAGAAAAGCATTTTTGAAATAGAAATATTTTGTCTTTACTGTCAATTTTGATCGGTTTCCTTGCATCATTGCTGAAAGTACTGATTTAAAAAATATATATTTTTTACTTATCTTCCTGACCCCAAACTTTTGGAACAATACAGAAAAAAGTTGAATACGGCCCCTTTAGAAATAGAGGTACAGTAGGAATCCTTCTGAAAACTGACAAAGAAAGAAGCAGTAAGTTACAGCCGGTGAATAGTTACATGAGCGGTGCTAGCTGGAGGGGAGTGTAACCCCATGTTGACTGTGACCGCACTCATCAGGCTGAGGGTTGGAGAAGGGGTACGAGAGCCACCCTCTGGGCCTAGTCCACACACCCTCAACTCCTCCAGCACCGCTGTGGACGCTTCGCTCTGAGTGCGGGAAGAGCAGCGGCTCTGCCCCAGCGGAGAGGGAGGGCCTGGAGAAGGGGTCTCGGGGTGAAGGTCAGCTCTGATGAAATCGAAGGAGAGTCTGAGCCGGTTAGGTGCTGACTGTGAGGTCAGTGCTGTTCCGGGATTGGTTTGTTTGAGGAGGACTGGCACCTCAGGCTGAATGACAGAGAGCAAAGTGGCACAGATGAGATTCAGCAGTTGGGCACAGCGAGTGTGAGAGACGTAGAGATGTGATGCTGCTGACGGCTGTGCGTTAGAAAGGAAGGATGGAGGTGTTACAGTTATGAGATCAAAATCTTATTCCAGTGTTGCATTTGAGCATAATCAGAAACCAGATCAATCAAAACTGCATAAAGGCCATAATGCAGTAGAAAATATGTACTGTATATGCATAAATAATATATTGTATATACTACCTTACACTACCGTTCAAAAATTTGAGGTCAGTAAGATTTTAGTAATTTTGTAAAATATTATTACAGTTAAAATTAAGTGTTTGCTATTTTAATATATTTTAACATGCAATTTATTCCTGTGACACAAAGCTGGATTTTCAGCATCAGTACTCCAGCCTTTAGTCTCACGTGATCCTTAAGAAATCAATCTAATATGCTTTTTTTTTCTTTCTTTTTTTTTTTGTAAAAGTATGAAAGAAGAGCATTTATTTGAAACAAATCTTTTGTTACATTTGAAATGTCTTTCTGATCTTTACTTTAAATCTAATTAATGCATAATGCTGAATTGAAGAAAAAAAAAAGTGCTGACTCCAAACTTTTGGATGGTAGTGTATATTGTATTTGTACAAGCCAAATACTGTACAGTTAGCTGAATAAATGGTGTTTGGGAAGTGATTCAGGTCCATTACCACTGCAATTCATGATTTTACCATAAAAAAAGAAAGATCTCATTTTACAATGACATGAGCCTCAATGTGCTATAGCAAAACAAAAACAAAAACAGAATTAGTTATGTTTGCTAAGGCACAGCATGGTGTAGGGGAGGCTGTTATTAAGCTAATGCATATGTGGTTATGAAATCCGTGACATGTACCACTGGAGGGGCTGCAGATGGCAGTGGAGGGCAGGGGTGAGAGCGGCTATCCGGGAGGTCCATCCTTTTAGGAGGGGTAGGGGGTCTCAAAGACAGTGTCTGTGTGCGCCGTCCCGATATCTGAGGCCTAGGGTTAATGCGGATGGAGAGGGAAGCTACTTGTCTCTCCAGCTCCACAGATGAAGGGTGTAAGAAGGGCTGCTCTGCTTGTGATGAACATGAGGTTTGGTCCGCTGTGGACAGCAGTCTGTGGGAGTGGACACTATGTTCTCGTGCCTGATTGAGGAGAGTGGGCATTGGGATATTAGAGCACAGGTCAGATACTGTTGCTCTGTGGTGGTTCTCTCATTGAATAAAAAGGTGTGGATGTGGTTGCCTTGGAGAATAATCTCTCTGAGATAAACAGTTGATTGTTATAGTGAGGACAGGCACAATAACAATTCTTTCTTTTACCAGCATTTGGTAGTATATAAATACATTTAAAAAATATTTTTTTTTTCCCAATAAACAATAAATACATGTATTACTTTATAAATAAATATTGTTAGGGACTAGGGATGTAACGATTCACTCAACTCACGATTCGATTGACGATTTTGATTTCACGATTCAATTCGATTCACGATTTTTATTTTTTTTATTTTACAAAATGAGATTTAGGACCAATTATAAATTAAATGTGTCCTTTTATTATTGCTTGGACAAAATACTGTACGTTTCTTTGTGAAATTGAAATATAACACTATAATAATATACTAATATAGCACTTTTATTGCTCTTATTTTTTTTCCCAATAAACAATAAATACATGTATTACTTTATAAATAAATATTGTTAGGGACTAGGGATGTAACGATTCACTCAACTCACGATTCAATTGACGATTTTGATTTCACGATTCAATTCGATTCACGATTTTTATTTTTTTTATTTTACAAAATGAGATTTAGGACCAATTATAAATTAAATGTGTCCTTTTATTATTGCTTGGACAAAATACTGTACGTTTCTTTGTGAAATTGAAATATAACACTATAATAATATACTAATATAGCACTTTTATTGCTCTTTTGCTGGTTTTGATTGCTTCTGTTGTCCTCATTTATTAGTCGCTTTGAATAAAAGCGTTTGCTAAATAACAAAATTTAAATATAATGTAAATGTAAATAACCAAACTAAATGAAAATTTTAAAACAAGCCCCAAATCAAATAAATAAGTAACACAAATAAAAGAAATCTCTTCATATTAACAAACTAAGGCTTTGTCTGTGCTCTTTTTATTTAAAATTAGAGGCAACCACTGCATTTTATTCATGATCCAGATGCTGCATACATGCAACGTGAGCAGTTTTTTATATAAATTACATTGTATAATTTCGAAATTTGAAGCAACAACAGAATGGTTTGACTTCAGTTTTGTGAAACTATGCATAAAAAATATCTGCATGAAACCGAAACAGCAGACGAGCTGAATGAGACGCAGATTCACTCTCTGCCAGCAGGTGGCGCTTAAAGCGCCTCCTTGGTTTCCGCTGAAAACAAAGCAGCGCTGCACTTATGAACTTTAATATGCATTATACAGAGGCAAGAGGAAAAGAAAAAATACCATCTAAAGACAGTAAGTTCCCCTCAGACATACATTCATATAAACTCCTACCCCTAATTGAATCGCGATTTGTTTAGCATCTCAACCGATTTGAATCGTCACATATTTAAATCGATTTTCAACCGGCTCGCAGTTAATCGTTACATCCCTATTAAGGACTAAATTGTTTGGGTCCAAATATTTATTGGTAAACTTGTATTTACTTAAAAAAAAAAATTTTTTTTTATTTCTCACAATAACTTGGGTAACAGGGTTTAATGCATGCACAATTCTAAATTATGTAAAGTATAGTGCCTCTTATGCTTTTAAAATACACAATAGTATAATAGGAAACAGACATGTTCTGTATTTGTTATGATAACCAGTACAGAGTGTTATCTTCAATAACAGTTGAGAGCTTTGCTTTGTGCTCAGTTTTCAAACACTAGAAACGGGTGTGACTGGTACAGTTAAACATGGCATTAATAAAAACTGTCGAATGGGCTTCCACAGACATTTCCTGAGGAAGGAAAACCTCCAGATACAGTAAGGATGAGAAAAACAAATGAGTGAAGTAAACACAGCAGAACGTACTGGTGTGGGAGACTTTTTATCCTGAAAGTTGGGCCTGACACTTCTGTAGCCTTTAGCTGCCAGAGAAGAAGAACACACGTCACCATTTCTCAGACCATCACTGGTGCTGCTGCTGGGCCTCCACAAATCTGACAAGAGACAAACAAAACACTTGAAAGTGTGTTTCATATTCATATATACAAAAAAATTGACCACAGAATGCCACTACTGACAAATGAAAAGGAAGAACTGGCGAAAACTCAGCAATGATAGATCTTTTTTTTCCAAAGTATATGTTTATTAGCAAAAATATGTTTAAAAATTAAAATAAAATAAAATAAAACCTGCTTACCTGAATCTTTAGATTGTGATTCAGAGTCTGCATGGATTAAAATGAGATAAGAAAACTTCGTTAAACACTAGCAAGGGATCTACTTTTCACACAGTACCTATTGCAAATTAGGTATAATATATTCATGCATTAGTGATTCAAGTTTTTAGTGAACTATGTGTGCATAAATTGCATCCTTAATTTATTCCAAACCATTGCTTCAGATTTTAAAACAAGATGAATGAAAGACAGAAAAATATATGACAGCAGGAAGAAACACTGATAGGTACAGTGAGAAAGTTTTATATATAAAGGAGGTTCCCCTTAATATTTCACAGAGAAAATCTGGCACGTCTGAAAACCAATTCAGAAAGGCTGTTTAAAAAACACACACTTTTGTCTAAAATAAACACTTGATAAAAGTGAAAAGGCTAAAAAAAAAATGATTCTTTCGATTTCATTGATGTAATAACCCTCGCTCATTAAACAGTGCTAAATGAACAGCGCTCGAACTCTGTCCTGAATGAGTGGTGTTTGTTCAGTTAGCTCACTCCGGCAGCACCTCAACCTCCCGCAGACTAATTAAACAATGGAGAATATGTGTGTGTGTGAGGTCATAGTCCATGAGACTGCTCAAACAAAAAGGGTCACCCCCAGAGGAAACTGTGCCGAGAGAGACGAGGGAAAAAGCCTGAAGTATACAATTGTTGCCATGGAAGAGCACAACTATGGCAACAATCTTGCAACTGTGAGCTGCTTTTTCCCTTTAAGCAAAGGAAAGGAGAGCTACCGCTCTCAAACATTCCTTAAGGAGCTGCGAGCACAAGAATGAGATGGCGAGCAAGAGTAGGAGAGAGAGAGAAAGAAAGACAGTGAGGAGGAAGTCTGTGGTAGGACATAAGATGCAGAGAGACAAAACACAGATGTGGAATGAGTGACGTTGAGTGCAGTGAAGAGGAATTCCTGCTCGCGGTGCAGGCTGAGTAAACACACCATCACATTTAACACCAGCAGCAATATCTTCAGCTCCACTGCTCACATATAATGCTGCTTATGACAAACAGGCTAATACGAATATGAACCATTTGTTGATTTTTAAGCCACTAGTTGTCAAATGTTCCATGCATTCCTGATACCTGTAAGCGGCGTGTATAGGTTTGGTGAGCTCTGGATTCTCTTCATGGGGGTTAGAGTGAGTGAAAGCGTGGCACTTTTGCGGACATGTCCTCCACTGTCTGTGAAAAGCGCAGTAGCACATGCAAACACAAATGCACATGCATCAGTACTGCTGCACGGCAAGATAACTGTGATTCAGCAAGCAGAGCAATGTGAAACGTCCTTAGCAATACAACAGTATACATTACAAAATGATTTCACATGCCAGGATGGATTTTTTTTGCGCGATGAGTGAATGTATTGTGGTCTGACTCACTAAACTTTTTCAACTGCTTTTTTAGAGTCTCTGTACAGGGTTCCCACACCTTTTGACCTATGACTTTCATGATTTTTCCATGTCTGTCTTTCCATTTCAATTTTCCAGTTATTAGAGATTACTGGAGGCTGCACTAACAAATTGCAATTGCTAGCAGATGAAATGTTTTAAAACTAAGCATGCACAAAATTGCACACAGTACAGACTATAGAAATGTACATAACATTTCCGTGACTTTTTAAAATGTTTAATACCTGGAAATCACTATTTTACCTTTCATTTTAAAAGTGTGGGGTCAGGTAAGATTTTTTTTCTTTTCTTGACTTCAGCTTTACATCATAGAAATAAATTACATTTTAAAATATATTTAAATAAAAAAACAGTTGTTTAAATTGTAATAATATTTAACAATATTACTGTTAAATGCAGCCTTGGTCAATGTAAGAGACTTTTTAAAAAAATCATCATTCCACTCATAAACCTTTGAACGGTAGTAAAAAATGACCGTGAATTTAACGGTAAAAGACTGTAAAAATGCTACAGTAAAAACCTGTTAAATGGTTAAACGGTAACTTCCCCTACTCTATACGGTGAAAACCTGTATTGGACATTACATGTATTGGACATTAATTTTACGGTAGTATACCGTTTTTGGAAGTGAAAAATACTGTATAATTTACAGTGAATAACCGTAAATTGACATTCCCAGAATCCGTTACATTTCAAATTGTATGTTTTTTTGTTGAAATAACTATGTTTCTTCTTAGTTTTTTCTTATCAGTTTTGTATATTAGGGTTGAGTGTTACACCTAATGTTGTTAAATTAATATTTATTGCATTATTTCAGTTTCATGTGTGTTACCATGATGGTGTTTGGTGTTTGTGTGAATGACACTGTGCACCTTCTATATATGTTATTATTTAAAAGCTGCTTGTGATGAGCTTTGGTTCATCATGTGACTTTCTCTTCACCTCCTGCATTTGGTGGTTATCAGTGTATTACAAAGGTACAAAACAGATTTCAGTTCTTCAATAGGTTGGTATATTAACATTATATCAGTTAAGAAAATTACAGTATTTAACTGTAAATTTAAGTTAAAACTGTAAAACCTAAAACATTGCTACCGTATTTTTTACGGTAAAATTCCGGCAACCACAGCTGCTGTTTTTTTACCGTAAATTTTACGGAATTTTTTTACAGTGTATATTATGGTAGGTAATGATTACTCCATTCCTATCACTGACACTTGCATGTTACTCCAAGGTACTTAAAAGAACACCATACTACAACGGTACTTGTTTACACTGTATTATCATGCTGCCATGACCAAAAATTTTTTTTACATTTCTTTAATTTGCCTTAAATCATTTAAGCCATGCAAACTGAAACTGATTTGAACTTACCTGTGTTCATGTTGAAGATCTCTCCTGCTTGTGGTGTCTTGATGTCACACAGTCCTGAAAGACATATCACTAAGAATCAGTGGCCCGTACTCCTTGTAAAGCAAAACACTGATTTATCCATGCGTACAGCATGTATGAGTGCAGGTAGCGTGGCACAGACGTCCCGTCTCTCCCCGGCACGGCAGCATGCTAGCAAGTGTCTAATGTGGCTGGTTAACATCCCTCTTGGGATATGAGGCCCAGGAGTGAAAGGTGATACAAGCCTGGCGTTTCAGCTCAGAAACACGCAGCACGGTATCAAAATACACACCATACATACACATATATCCGCACGCATTCTCAGATCTTACACATGACCACTTTTGGTGTGTCAGAGCTTAACATCTCTTTGAGTTGGTTGTCAGCAATGAGCAGCAGTCACACACTCGTAGGGGGGCTATTGTAACTAATTAAACCCCTGTTTGGTTTGACCTAGATTACTAATTTTTCAGTGATGGATTAACAGCCCATGTGACTCTACTCTGAAAATATCTGACTTATTTTAGCACAAGCTAGATATATCAGGGATGGTCTATGATAGGAACACTGTCACTTAATCACATTATAACATTACTTAACTCATCGTCAGGCAAAGCGCTGCAAATATGTCAGATAGGAGACACCGTGAACGAGTGCTCATGTGCAAGACACATGTTTCGCTTTCAGAGAGCTACGGCAGGCACGTGTGCCACTTGTCACACATGTAGACCAGTCGTCGTTCAACCCGCAAAGTGTGCTTCACCTGAGACCATCATGATAGTGGTATGCTGTGCGTTCATAGGTCATGACAAGAGAGAGGCATTCAAATTTGCTATTCTAAACCTTTGTATTTGGTTACATTTTAAAGGGATAAATGAAATTTCTGTCATCATTTACTCCCAAGCCTTTCCAAACCATTCTTTCTTTCAGGTTAGGAATTCATGCTGTTTTTTTCCATGTAATGAATGTGAAGGCTGACTAAAATGATGGCAAAGCATCATAAAATTAGTCCATCAGACTTATATTTCAAGAATATGATCGGTTGCGTGTCACATGAGAATCAATGACATTTTGCATCGTTGATGTCAAAACTGACTTGATACATCTAGACGCACTATATATATCAATAAGATTTAGGAAAATATTATCATTGAATTACAACTTCCAAGTAGTGTTATTTTAGTATTATTTATATACTACATATACTTTTTTATGTTTTAGTCATTTTGTTATGTGGTTTTGATTTTTCTGTTAAGCTTTAATTTATTTTTATTTCAGTTAGTAATTTTGGCAGTTCAACTTATTTTCAGTTTGTTGCTAAGGCAGGATTTCTCATTTCTAATTTGTTATTATAGTAAGAGTTCTATACTAATATACTATTTATTAATATTTAGAATTTTATATTTTCATTTTAGTTATTAGTTTTAGTAATTTTGTTATGTGCTTTTTCATTTTTAGTTTTATTTTTGTGAATATTTCTATTTAGCTTTAATTTATTTTATTTCAGTTTTTAATTTAGTAATGTAATTTTGGTAATTCAACTTAAACATTTTATTTCTGCTAGTTGCTAAGGTGACAGTTCTCATTTTTAGTTAGTTTATTATTATTATTATTATTTTAAGTTGAAGTTTTTCATCTAATATTTAATTTTTATTGCAGCTTTATCACATTAATTATTTTAATTAATTTAATTTAATTTATTTTATCATATTACGTTGCCACTTTTATAGTGATTTATTGCCATTTTTGAAGCTTAACAGCCCCTGATCACCAGTAAACTAATTTCAGGTTCAACATTCTAACATCCACGGGAAGACATGTATAATATCTTTAAAAATAATCATTAAAAAATACATGTTTGAAACAACATTCTGGTGTAAATTTTCTCTTAAAATGAGCTTGTAACTTTAAAATTAAACAATTATGGAAACAACAAAGTAACCTGCAGCAAAGTAACATGCATGGTATCATCAGTATAGTGAGATTAAAGGTAAATAAATATTCTCCTTCAGCCCTTAATAAAACATTGAGCCAAACAGGATTACCCCCTGCTGTGTTCCATTAAAAAAGGACTCAGAGGTCATCCTCAAAATAAATCTTAAGACACCACAGCCAATAAATCTGGTCAAAGCGGACACTTTTGCCTGTGACACCACTGGGCTTGGGTAAATCAAAGGTTGTAATGACCTGTCAGCAGTAAATGAGGAAAAGATTATGATATTGGATTTCAAGGGTGCAGACTTGTGGCGACAGAACAGCTGGAGGGAAGAAATGGACACAGCTCCACATTTATATTCATGAGCAGGGCTCACACTAGTCATTTATTTATCTATCGGAACATTAGGAATCGTTCTGTCCGGGGAAATGCCAGGGACGGCCAAGCCAACAGGCCACACTCATTTCCATAGCCATCAATATTTCAGTGCGGTCGTCAAATAAATAGCTCCACCATGGAAACCCTCCAAGAGGACAAGCAGTAAACATGAAAGCTCCTAAACTCCAGTTTATGCTGAAAGTTCATTTAAAAAGGGGTCATGAACTGCCTTTGTTTTTTTATTTTGTACTGTTCTCTGAGGTCCACTTATATTGTTATCAAGAATTTTACATTACAAACATCATAATATAGAAGTAATAAGTCCTGTTTTTAACTCCCCTCATCAGAATGCTTGAACGTTTGAATATGCTTGGTGGATTGTAGACTCGGAAGTAAACACCTACTGCTATGATTGGCTAACACTTGTGTATGTTTGACAGCCTACATTCCTCATAGATGGACGCTGCTGTGATTTAGGTCAAAAACGCATAAATAATGCATATCAAACGATCTCTAAGAAGAGACAAAGCAATTGTGACCACCAGTTACTCACACTTGTGTGGTGTGACATCAGATCCAATATAGTCGTCACAGCATCTCTTTTCAATCTTTTGGAAAATCCCACATCAAATTGTACCTTGTTTGTAAAGGAATCCGCAGTAAAATAAAGTGAACAAAGGACCAAGTTCTTTGTGACGCAGTCTGGAACTTCATTAAAAATAAAGTTCATTCACTCTTTCTTAAAGTTGGGATCAGAAGGAAGGCAATGCAAAGACTGGTTTTCCTAAACTTGGCACAGCACAGAATCTTGTTGTCTTCAGAGCCATTTTTATCGTTTGGTTTCTACATAGACCTGTGCATTCGCCTTTCTTGTAAACACTATGGGCCCTATACACCCAGCGCAATGTGGCGCGACGCAAGTGTTTTTTGCTAGTTTCAGCCCAATGCAGTTGTCATTTTCACGTCCTGTGCCACGTTGTTTAAATAACAAATGCATTTGCGCCCATTTGTGCGCCCATGGGTGCGCTGGTCTGAAAACAAGGTGTGTTCAGGCGCATTGCTGGCGCGTTACTATTTTGAAGCAACTGCGCCATTGACCAACTAAAACCTAGTCGCAATATTTTTTCTTTGTTATTTAAAGAGTGCGTTAGTAATATACGCCTATGGACGGGTGCAAAACGCACATACACTTTGATTATTACACACACAGGTACGCGCAGCAGCACACAAACATTTTTAAAAATGACAAATTAAATTCCACCGTGTAAATAGTGAATCTGCCATGGCGTGAGCGCAACTAGCTTTTAGAGGGAATGGGAGATGAGACTCTGATTGGTTTATGGCACGTTACGCCCAAAACACACCCATTACTCATTAAAAGAATAGGGACAACCCTTTTAGACAATGCGCCAGGAGCGCCGACCATTTTTCCCGTCCTTAAACTAGCAAAAGTGGATTCGAACACGCCCTAAATGCATTTGCGCCGTGCGCTTTAGACCATACGCTTAGATCGTTAAAATAGGGCCCCATGTGCGCAAACCGGTGGGCGTGACTAAACAGGCAGTCTATCTTCTTCTTCTGAGGCGGTGCTTATACCTATTACATCTATAGAGTAGAACATTCCACAAGGTGTTGTTTCGGCTGACTGCCTCCAATATAAGCTGTTTTTAGACTTGTTTAAACAACAAAGTTTTAGTTCTGATGTTTTTATAATACAATGACTTATGTGTCATAAGATCAAGGGAATTTTGGTTTCTCACTTCATGACCCCTTTAGCAAAATCTGCAGCATGTGAGTTCAACATTTCACAGCTTTTACGTTCATAGCAACTTAACTTCATGGAAGTGATGCATTTCTGGAGACAGCACACTCAGTGGGAAATATTGTAGGTGGGACTTTATTTTATCCAACAGGATTTGGTTGGATCATGATTGCTGCTATGATATTACTGGTTAATATTATTTTTCTCTGCCCACATGGACTTTGTTACGTCAACAGAAAAGAAGTTGTAGTTGTTGCAAATTATTACATTTTCATTAAATAAATTAAAATTATATGGTAATTTACTTATGTTTTGAGTAATGATCTTATGACTTCGTTTGTGGAACAGAAAATTAGATCATTTAATGCATTTCCAGGAAGGTGAATTCAATCCAATGGCAGTTCATTGCAACAGATTTTTAAACTGAAGTTTTGGTGAAAAATGGCCCTTAATTGTAACGGTGAAAAAAAAACAGAACAACATGATCACCATGACATTTTCCAACTGCTACATCGATTTGGGTGAAAAAAATTACCTGATAATTTTAACAGTAAAATGTGCCGGTAGTCAGTAGGCGCGTTTCCATTACCCTTCAAATTGCGCAAATTGAAATTGCGAATTGAAAATGGTGAAAAAGGCCCTTAATTGTAACGGTGAGAAAAAAAAACAGAACAACATGATCACCATGACATTTTCCAACTGCTCACATCGATTTTGATTTTAACAGTAAAATGTGCCGGTAGTCAGTAGGCGCATTTCCATTACCCTTCAAATTGCGCAAATTGAAATTGCGAATTGAAAATTCGCTTAACGGAAACGCGTCAATTTCGCAAAAACTCCCATGTATCGCAAAAAAGTTTTTACGCTTGCATGAGGTGGTTTTTCAGGCAATGCGAAAAAGGAATAATTTGCAAAACTGCAATGGAAATGGCTTTTTCGCATTTACAGGTCACATGGCGT